GGTAAGAGGGGGAGGGATTTTTAATTTTTGCCAAAGGGGGCGCGGTGGGGCTGTGGTTAAAGGAGCGGGGGGGGGAAATTTTTTCTTTCAAGAGCACCCAGGGCAGGGAGGAGCTGCAAGAAGGTTGTTCGCCCTCCGGTTTTTTGCCGGGCGGGGAAGAAGATCCCCCCCAACCCCTGGGTACCCCCCCCCCTTTTTCCCCCTCCCCCCCTGGTTACCCCCCCCCCCCCTTGTTCCCCCGCCTGCCCTTTTGCCCCCCCCCCCCCCTTACCGCGCGGGCGCGGCGGCCCCGACGGCAGGTGGTGTCCCCTCGGTGGTCACGTCATCTGACAGACCCTGACAAGTCCAGACACCTCCCCGACACGTCCCCGACACCTCCCCGACACGTCCCCGACACGTCCCCGACACGCCAGGCGGCGTCTCTTCGATGGACACGAGCGACGCGGCCGTGCTCACCGGCGGGGGGGACGGCAACCTCCGCCTCTTCAACTTGGAGGACCTCTCGCTCCGCTGCTCGCTCCGCGGCCACGCGGCGCCCCATCTCGTCATGCGCCAGGCACCACCGACGAGACATTCCCGAGATGACCGCCGAGACGACCCCGGGGAGTAGGCCCCCATCTCGTCGTGCGTCCTGCTCGGCGAGTCGCTCGCCGCGTCCGCCTCGACCGACGGCGCCGTGCGCCTGTGGGACGTCGACTCCGAGGCCGGCGCGGCGGGCGGCGGCGGCGAGAGGGCCGGAGGACGGCCTCCTCCCGAGATTTGGCCGAGATCGGACCGAGATCGGACCGAGGGGTAGGCGGCACGAGGGCGGACGAGCTCCTCCCGCCGCTGCCAGACCAGCCGCCCTCTCCCGTCCTGCTGCAGCCGCTCCGCTCCAGCGCGCTCCAGCGGCAGCTGCTGTGCGCCCGCGCCGGCCGCATCCTGCTGCTCGACATCGACTCGCACGCCATCCTCTCCGCGGTCCCGCCGCCAGCAGCAAGGTCGCCGATAGTCGCCATGGCCGCCGACGACGGGCGCGGCTTCGCCGCCTCCGCCTCGCTCACCGCCGGGCAGGTCCACTTGTGGGACGTGAGGCTGCTGCCGGGGCCCGAGGCCGTGGGCGGCTCGGACCTCCTGCGCGCGGGCGGAGGCGACTTGTGGATGGACCTGCCCCCGAGCGCGCGCCGAGCCTTGGTCGGCTCGATGCCGCTGCCCGTGCGCGGCACGACGGCGCGGCAGCTGCACCTCGACGGCAGCAAGCTGCTCGTCGGCATCGACGGCGGCGTGCACTGCGGCACGCCCTTCTCCTGCGCCTCGCAGACGGTCGCGCTGTACGACATGCGCGCGCTGCGAGGCTCGAGCTGCTCCGCCCCCGCCGCGCGGCCTCTGTGGGAGGCGCGCGTGCCGGGCTCCGCGACGGTGCTGAATTGCGTCGGCGCGCCCGCGCTCGGCGCCCGCCGCGATCCGTCGACCCTTGTGCTCGGAACTTGCGCGGGCCTCGTCTTGGTGTGGAACGCGGCGGCGGCGGCCGGCGCCAGCGTCTCCGCCGCCGGAGCACCTCGCGAGGCAGGGGCCGAGGCGGCGGCCGTGTTTGGCGGGCCAGACTCGCGCCGCGACCGCTGGCGGTCCGCCGAGAAGGAGGCGGGGCTCGGCGGCGGGCCGACAGACAAGAAGTGGCGCGCAAAGGTGCGGGTGAGAGGCCGGTACCCCAAAACCCAGGGCTTCTCCAACGTCGTCGCTCGCTCACGCTGAGGCGCGTCGTCGCTCGAGACCTCCCTGGGGTGACAGTTCTTCTGAGCGTTGTACCGTCTGCCTCAACGGCAGCTTTCCGTGCGGGATCGGCGATCGCGCCACAATAAATTTAATAGTAGTAAGGCAGAAGCGCTTGCCGGGAGCGCTACAGACGCTACAACAATCAACAACAACATATATGACTTATGAGATGTCCCCGGTCGAGATACAAAACGCGCTCCAAAAGCCATAAATAAATAAACAAAGAGTCGTAGAAAATCCAAAATCCAAATCGCAAACATAGAAACCCAAACACACACAGCCACGTGGCATAGAGGAGAGCAGGAGGTGAAAGGAGGTCAGCACAACTTCCCAAGGACGCACGAGCGAGAAGCACACAGCAGAGCAGACAGATGACGATCACCACCCAGCGCACGACCGCCAACTCTCCGGCGCAGGCCGCGAAGAACCGAGTCCGCGGGCCGACGGTCGCGGCGCGCCGGCGCGGCGCAGCGGACGCAGCCAATAAATAAATAGAGCAGTCATCTCCAGGGAGAGATGGGCGACGCACACGAACACAGAGGGACATCACAGGGCATTTCTTTATTCAGAGAGCTTGGCAGAATTCTTTATTCCTCGCGATCTCTCTTCACCGACGAGCGCTCCCATGCCCGGCCGACCAAAAGCTGGCTCAGCCGCCTCCCGGCACGGACACGCTTCAACGGTGGCTGCTGCGCCGCTCACGCTGCCGAAAAAGATCGAGACAGCGGCGGCGGACGGCAAGGCGGGCGTGGTGCAGACGTGGCTCGCCGGGGACGGGCGGGTTGATGCAACGTGCGTGCGTCGCGGTGTGAGTGGCTGGACGCTCCTGGCGATCGCCGCCACCGAAGGTCACAAGCAGCTGGTCGAGGAACTGCTGAAGCGGGGCGCGAAGCCGGACGCGCAGAATAGCGTCGGCGTCACGGCGCTGATGTCCGCCGCCGCCAACGGCCGCGTGCAGGTGGCCGAGACGCTGCTGCAGCACGGCGCGGAGATCAACCTTCAGAGCAGCCGCGGTTGCACTGCGCTAATGTTGGCCGCCGCCCGAGGCCACGAGCGGGTGGTCGAGCTGCTGCTGCAGCACGGCGCAGAGGTCGACCTGCAGAACATCGACGGCGAAACCGCGCTCATGATGCCGTCGTGCTCCAGTTGCTGCGGGCGGGCGCAGACATGGCGCTGCGCACTGTGGCGGGCAAGACGGCACTGCAGATCGCCAAGGAGGAGGGTCACACCGAGTGCGTCGCCGCTGTCAAGACGTTTCTCAGCGAGGTGGCGGCGGAGAGGCGCGACGCGGCGGCGGTCGAGGCGGGCGGCGCGGGGGCAGGCAGCGCTTCGGGCGGCAGCAGCGGGCCTGTTCCCGAGGAGAGCGGCGCGGCGGGCGGCGCAGGGGCGGACGGCGATGCCGCCTCGGGCAAGGGGGCGGCGGCGGCACCAACTGCCGCGTCCTCTTCTGGCGGCGTGGAGAGCGGAACGGGCGACGGCGGCGTGGAGAGCGGAACGGGCGAGGACGCCGTCCCCGAGGAGGTCGTGGAGGCGGCTAAGCAAGGCGACGAGGCGGCGGTGCTGGCGTGGCTCGACGGCGGTGGGCGGGTGGACGCGACTTTCACTGATGAGGGTGTGAGCGGCTTTACGCTGCTGATGGTCGCCGCCGCCTACGGCCACGAGCGGCTGGCCGTGGCGTCGCTGCAGCGTGGGGCTTCGATCAACCTTCGGAACAGCGTCGGCCTCACCGCGCTGATGGGCGCTGCCCTCAACGGCCACGAGCGGGTGGTCGAGCTGCTGCTGCAGCATGGGGCGAAGATCAACGAGCGGGACAGCGTCAGCGGCACCGCGCTGATGTTCGCCGCTCTCTGGAACCACCCCGCAGCCCTGCTCTGCCTGCTGCGGGCGGGCGCCGACACGGAACTGCGTTCGGTGAGTGGATTTACGGCGCTGCAGGTTGCCAAGAAGGAGGGCAACGCCGAGTGCGTGCGCGCCCTCGAGGAGCATGCTGCTGCCAAGGCGGCGGCCGAGAAGGCGGCGAAGGAGGCGGCGTGGGCTGCGGAGGCGGCGGAGAGGGCGGCGGAGCTGGCGGTGGCGGAGGCTGAGGCGGCGCGGCACGCCGACGAGCTGCTGGCGGAGGTCGAGGCAGAGAAGCGCGGCAAGGGCAAGAAGGGCAAGAAGAAGAAAAAGGGCGGCGGGAGCGGCGGCGCTGGGCCGTCGCAGGAGTCCGAGGCGCCGTCAGAGGCAGCTGCAGCCAAGCCCGCGAAGCTGGACAGGGAGGGGTTGATCAGGCTTCTCGAGACGCTCCACGAGGAGCGGATTCGGTACGGCATCACGGAGGAGACGTCGGTCGCGGGGCTGGCGGAGGCGTTGGGAGAGGAGGCCGAGGCGGCAGGCGAGGCGAGCGAGGAGGAGACGGCAGAGGCGGGTGAGGAGGCAGCCTTGGTGGCAGCGGAGGCGCGCCGGGAGGCTGAAGCCGAGGCCGACGCTCTGGCAGCGGCAGAGGAGGAGGCGGCCGCCACGGCAGCGGCTGCTGCGGCGGCGGCTGCGGCGGTGGCTGCGGCTGCGGCTGCGGCGGCAGAGGTGGCGGAAGCAGCAGAGGCGGCACTGGCTGCCGTCAAGGCGAGGCGCGCGTCAGCGGCCGCCGCGAGGGCCAGGGCGGATGCCGACTAGCCCGCGCGCAAGGACAGCAACCAAGTACAGTACTGCTGTTGGCGCCGGCGCACGGATCGTGGTTGGAGGCATGTGTTGGGGAGGAAGGTGGGTGCATGGAGGGGGACGGGCGAGCTCGCTGTCCCGTGGTCTTTTGTCTGTTCAGGGGGGCTCGGGGGCGATCTCCACCGCTGAAAAGGGGGAGGGTGAGAGGACGCTTTTGTGGGAGGGGTGGAGCTCGCTGCACAGTCCCGTGGTGGTCAATTTAAGTGTCGTTGTTGGTTCTGCTTCAGGGGCCCTCCGCGCGAGCGGCCACACACCCGCACTCGTGCACCCCGCCGGACAGCGCGGACGCACACGCCACACCCACAAGCCATGGGCCAACTACATCACATGACACACACACGTACTAGCTAGCGACGTACAGCTAGCGACGTCATATGCATATGTTCATTGGCATAGACAGAGACAAGAGGCAGAGACAGTGGCCCACTGGGCTAGAGAGACAGGGGCATGGGCAGAGGCAGATACATACCACATACCAGAGCCGGCTCCCACAGTCCAGAGACAGAGACCAGCCGGCAGAGAGAGGCGGCTCGCCTCCGCTCTCGTTCGCGAGCGACGATCGACGCGCCGGTGTAGAGAGCGCGCCCACTCGTCACCGGGGCGGGGGCCTCCGTGTGGAATAAATAAAAACGGTCTCTAAGTGCCCCAAGAAGCACATCTCTCTGTGTGAGATGGGTAAAAAGGAACAGGTCCCCGCCCTTGCGATCTTTGTGCAGGGTTCTTTGTGGGTGTGGTCGGCGACTAGCCGGGGTCGTCCTCCCGATGTGGGGGACTAGCACTAGCCGTCTACCACATGGTCCCTCGGGTCCCTGCTGCGACGGTGTATCATTCACTTTATGCCACCGTTGCATATCCGGATATGCAACGGTGGCATAAAGTGAATGATACACCGTCGCACCTGCTGCTCCTAATCTCTTCGTACATCCTCCTGCTGATCTCCGCAAAGTCCTGCTCCCTCCCTCGTCTCGCCCTGCGCGTCTGCTCCGCCTCACCGTCTTCTGCCCTGTGTCGTCTGGCGACGGGTCCTTCCTCCATAGTCGGTCGAGGTCGCCGCCCTCCTCGTGCCTCTTCCCAACGTTCCCTCGGCGGCCGATGCCGTCTGCTCCGGCTCCCCAGTCCCCGGGTCTGCCCTGCTCTCGTCTGCGCTAGTTTCTGCTTCGTCCTCACCGGCGTCTCTCCTCTACTTCCATCTTCCTTCTCCCCTTCTTGTATGAGCTTTGCACATCGCGTCGATTCCAAATACCAAAACGCCAATTAGCAATTTATTTCACTCTATCAATTTTTTCTCACTGGCATAAATGCATATTAAAGCCACGCCCCCTAGTGGAAACCACCGCATCACCTCCGACCTTGATCGATCGAGCAGCAACCGGCTAGGCCTCTTTCGCCGCTCGCGCACGCACGTGCCGCGCGTGCTCAGCCTCCACCGCAGCGCCGGGGCAACTCCCCGTGCCGCGCCCCCAGAATGCGTCTGGATCATTAGTCGACGTCCATATCCGCCCCCGCAGGCGGCGGCGGCGCGGCCGCAGGCTCCGCCGCCGCGTCGTCGCCCTCGGCGGCAGGCGCCGGCTCCGCCTCTGCCGGCGCGGGCGAGGGCGGTGCAGCCTCCACCTTGGGCGCCGGCTTGGGCTTCCGCATGATGGGGTTGCACACGCCCTCCAGCGCGCTCGCCTTGGCCGTGATCTCGGCCGATTTGATGGGCGCGTCTGCGGTGGCGGGGCTCGCTGCCAGCTTCGCCTCCGCCTCCGACAGCCACGCCGTCGCCGCCTCCACCTCGGCCGCGACCTTGGCCTTGTCGTCCGCCTCGATGTGCGCGTACGCCTCATCGGAGCTGCCCACAAACTCGGAGAAGCGCGCGAGCGCCTTGCGCAGCTCGCCGATCGCGTCGGGCCTCAGGTCGGCCTCGCGCGCGCGCGCCTCGATCGGGCCGCACTTGTCCATGATTTCGGCGTACTTTGCGTCGTAGACCGACTTCTCCACGTCCATGCCGTCCTCGTACAGCCAGTCCTCGAGCGAGGTCAATAGCGCCATGAGAGGCGACTTCTCGTCCTCCGTCGAGAAGGCAGAGAGCGAGGTGCTGAGCTTGTCCCTCATCGAGTAGATCGTCTCCTCGAGCTGGTTCATCGCGTCCGCCTTCTCCTTGATGCGCTTGTCCTCGATCGCCATCTTCCCCTCCTCCTCCTGCGCCTCCATCAGCTCCTGCGCGCTCATGCCCACCGACTTTGCCTCGCTCACCGTCACCGGGATCCGCTTCACCTTCTTCGACCGCTTCTTCTCCTCGGCCGGCGCCGGCGCCGGCGCCGGCTCCGGCTCCGGCGCCGCCTCCGCGTCCGCGGCCTCCGCCCCCTCCGCGGGCGCCTCCCCGCCCGCGGGCGCCTCCGGCGCGGGCGCGGGCGCGGGCTCGGCGGGCGGCGCCTCCTCGATCACCACCTCCTCCTCGAGGACGACGGCCGACTCGAGGGAGAGCACGCCGTTCAGGTCGAGCTTCAGCTTGACCTGGCGGGCGGCCAGGCGGGCGGGCGGGCGGGGCGTCGGGCAGGCGAGGCCGGGGAGGGGAGGGGAGGTGCGAGATGGGCGCGCGCGCGGGAAGCTTCTCGGAGGTGTCGCCTTGATGCGGGACGCCTCTGGCTTCCCCTCTGCGTCCAGGCGCTGCGGGATGTCCGAGATGGTGAACTCGTTGAGCGAGGGCGAGAAGCCGCCCGGCAGGGAGACCGAGTCGTCGTACGCCGCCGAGAGCGTGAAGGTGCCCTTGCGCGAGAAGGTGAGCATCTTCGAGTTTGGGACCGCGTTGAACTTCTGGAAGACGACCGACGAGGAGGCGCCCGCCTTCGGCGCCGCGTCCGCCTCGCCCTCCACCTCCATCGCGTCCGTCTGCGCGCCGGCCGCCGTGGGCGACCACGAGAGGGCGATCGGGTAGAGCGTCACGTCCTTGACCTCGAACTCGCGAACCTTGAAGGCGGGCGAGAGCATCGCCGCCTGCAGCGCGCAGCCCTTGGCGATGCACTCGTCAAAGTTGAGCGTCTTGGAGCACTCGCGCCCAAAGAACTCGGAGATGGCCTTTTGCACGGCGGGCACGCGCGACGAGCCGCCGACGATCTCGACCGTCGCGATCTCCTCCTTTGAGATCCCGCAGCCGGCAAAGGCGTCGCGGATGACCGTCTCGAGCTTGGCCATGAGCGGCGCGCACATGCCGAGGAACTCGTCGCGCTCGAGCATCCCCTTGACGTCGATGTCGTTCATGAAGCACTCGATCGCGATCGGCGCCTGCGGGTTGGACGAGAGAACCTTCTTCGTCTTCTCCGCGGCGACCATCAGCCGGAACCACGCCTTCTTGTTGGTGTGGGCGTCGATGCCGTGCTTCTCCTTCCAGATCTCGTTGAAGTGCTCCGCGATGACGCGCGTGAAGTCCTCGCCGCCCAGGTGGCGCTCGCACGCGGCGGAGAGCACCTTGAGCTTCCCCTTGACAAACTCGACGATGGAGACGGTGGTGTCGCTCGCGCCGCAGTCGACGAAGGCGACGTTGGTCGGCTTGTCGGCGGGCAAGTCGGTCTTGTAGATGCCGTACGAGAGGGCGGCGGCGGTGCAGTCGTTCATCAGCCGCAGCACGTTCAGGCCGACGACCTGGGGAGGGCAGCGGCGGAGAGGGCAGCGGCGGTCGGGGCCAGCGGCGGGGATTGCGGCGGCGGGGAGGGCGGCGGCGGGGAGGGCCAGCGGTGAGGCGGGAGTCGCGAGGGCAGCGGGGAGGGAGGAGGCAGCAGGGAAGAGGGAGGCAGCAGGGAAGAGGGAGGCAGCAGGGAGGAGGGGAACGCCGGAGGCAGCAGCGAGCAGGGCGGGAGGCGAGAGGCGGTCGTGAGGGAGGAGGTGAGGGTGGTGCCTTGGCGGCGTCGAGCACAGCGCGCCGCTCGACGTCAGTGAAGTATGCGGGCACGGCGAGCACGACGTCGGTGACGGGGGCGCCTACAGACAAAGCCGCGAGCAGGCTCAGCGAAGCCTCCACCGCCAGCACCGCCGTCGGCGGCGGCTGGGGGGACGGGCCTTGGTTGCGCTCGGCGATGCCCTGCAGCGACTTGAGGAACATGGCAAAGATGCGCTCCGGGGTGAGGACGGTCTCCTCGCCGCGGTAGTGGACGGGGATGCCGACGTTGCCCGCGACGTCGATCATCTTGTACGCTACCTTCGGCATCTCGGACTGGATCTCGTCCGAGTGGAACTTTTTGCCCACGATGGCCTTAAGGCCCGTCACTGTGTTGGTCATGTTGGACGTGATCTGGAGAGGCGGGCGGAGCGGCGCTCAGACGGCGGGCCGGCGGCACTCGGCATCGGTGGCGGCGCGGCCGCCGCGGCGCACCCCGCTGAGCGCAGCCTCGCCGAGCTTCCGCTCGCTGCCCGAGAAGCCGACCATGCACCTGCGGGGCGGCGGAGCAGCGACGCGGGTGCCGCCAGCGTTCGCAACGAGGGCGGAGAAGGACGAGGGTGCGGCCGGGAGATGCTCACGCTGTGGCCCGTTTGGACACCTCATTGTCAAGGATGTCAATGCCGCCGCGCCGGGCGATCGCGACAACTGTGGACGCGCGGAGACGATTCTGAGTTCGCGCGTTCTCACGGCTGAGCCGAGTGGAGAGGCCGAGCGGTGTTTAGAGGCTGCGCGCCTCCGTTGGCGTAGCCGACGTCGATGCCGATGCACGACATACCCGAACACGGCGAGGGGAGAGCGGAGAGAGCCGCGCGAGTGCAAGCGTCTCGTGGGCCTAGATGCTTCGGTGCTGCGCTGTGAAGAAAAAGACGAGGGCGTAAAGTCGGGCCGGTCTTCCCTCCCTTGGGTTGTGTGTTTTCTTTCTTTCTTTCGGTCTTCCCGACTTCTTTGGACTTTGCCGATGTTTGTGCTAGGTCGTAGGTGTGGCACAGCTGCATGACGATATACTCCTCAACAGTCCCACGGTGGGCGCGTAGCCTGTGCGACTCACTTTCTTCCAGGGCTCGAACTAGGCTCTAGGGCTCGAAACATTCGAGCAACCCGGTCGCTGTGCCCAAGGTTAGTCTTTGGCGCGCAGCGCGACGGAGAGAGGGCGGGGGTGCGCGTCTGCTGGCGGTGTTCCGCCGAACCGGTGAGCGGTGTGGCGACACTCGCAACGGACATATTGTGCAGAGGAAAGACACGCTGTTGTATCATGGGGAACGCGATGCGTCTGCGGCGGGCCGCACCACCACCCTTGGCAGCACAAAGCTGCGCCAGAGGTCCACCAGCCCCGGCGCCGCCCCCTCGCCGTCGAAGCGCTCCTCGTCCCACGCGATCAGGTAGCCCAGCCGCATCACCTCGACCGCACACTTGCGAACCGCCTCCGGGAAGAGCTCGTGCGACTGCGGCGACCACTCCGCCGCCTTGAGGATGAGCCTGCCCACCTCCACCGCCTCGGCCGCTGGCTGCAGGTTGGCCGGCCTGAGGGAGGGCAGAGGCATGGGGTATTCAAGAGAGGATCCGGCGAGTGGGGGAGAGACCATTGCAGTGCGCGCCTCAGTGCGAGTGCCTTGGCCTCGCCCGCCACGCGCACGCCGAAGCGGGCCGTCGAAGCGTTGGCGGAGACGACGACGCCGACCTTGCCGTTCATCGACGGCCGCGAGACGAGAGAGTGGATCGCGACGGTGGAGCCGGCGGCCGCAGCGGTCGGATCCGACTCGCTCCACGCGCAGAGGACGCGCGCCCGCTCGAGGGCCGAAGGCTCGCCGGCCGAAGAGTCCGCGCCGCCGCGCAGCAGCGCCCGCGCCCGGTCGACGGTGAGCGCCTGCGGGAAGAGGGGCAATGGGCGTGAGGACAATGCGCTCACGCTTCTCTAGCCGCTAGTCTCGGGCACGCCTCGAGGTGCTGGAGCGGCGTCCAGCCGCGGCTGGCGACCAGCCAGGCGGCGAGGTCGGCGTGGCCTTCGCGGTTTGCGGCCTCCTCGGGCGTGCCAAAGTGCGGCACCGCGGCGCGGGAGGCGCCGTAGGAGGAGAGGAGCTTGGCAACCTCGAGGTGGCCGAAGTGGCACGCGATGAGCAGTGCCGTGGCGCCTTGCTCCTCGGCTTGGTCGACCGCTGCGCCAGCCTCGAGAAGCAGCCGGGCGCACTCGAGGTGGCCATTCTGGCTCGCGATGAACAGCGGCGTGAAGCCGTCCTCTGTGGCTTGGTTGACCGCCGCGTTGGCAGCGAGGAGCAACCGCACGCACTCGAGGTGGCCCTGCTGGCACGCGATGTACAGCGGCGTGGCGCCTTGGTTCTGGGCTTGGCCGACCGCCGCGCTGGCCTCGATAAGCAGCCGGGCGACGTCGAGGTGGCCGTTATGGCACGCGATGTACAGCGGTGTGGCGCCGTCCTCTGCGGCTTGGTCGATCGCCGCGCCAGCCTCGAGTAGCAGCCGGACGATCTCGAGGTGGTTGTTCTGGCACGCAATGTACAGCGCGGAAGCGCCGCCGCCAGTCGTCGCCCCGACGCTCGCGCCGCCCTCGAGCAGCAGCCGCACCGCCTCGGCCTGCCCGTGGCGAGCGGCCCAGGTCAGCAGCGTGTCTTGCTTCTCGGTGTCGTGCCGCACGTCGAGCTGGGCCGTGAGCGACGTGCCGCGCGTCCCCCACCCGGAGAGGAAGGCTCGCAGCCAGGCCAGGTCGCCCCGAGCCAGGTCGGCGAGGCGAGTTGGGCTCGCGGCGCTCATGAAAATCGCGCGAACAAAATGCCACACTGGCACTTATTCAGGCTGACCTCATGGAGGCAACCGATGCGAGTCGACTGGTGTGTGTCGTCGTGGTTTCGTATCAAGAACACTCACCCACAACAACTCTATCTCACAGCAGACAGGCTTGACACAGGTGCGAACTGGCGCGTGCTAGCACTATCACAGGCACACCACTGGAGCCGCCTAAGCGACTCCGTTAAGAACGGCAATGCACTTAGCTCCGTGCACAATGCCGCTCTCCCCGCACGCTAGCTCGTTCACCGTCTGCCACGCCACGGCGGTGAGATTTTAGAAAACCAACAAGAAATCACGAGTCTTCTTCTTGAGAAAAGAAAGAAAGAAAACGGACAACCCAAGGGAGGGATGGGAGGACGGCACGCCGCCACCACACAGGGATTTTAAGGAGAGGGGTGTGGTCTCAGCGGCAAATGCAAGCGGCGGTTTCTTTTATTTTTGACTGTGTAAATCGTGCGTGTCGTCATCATCTGTCTCCGTCCACCCATACGTGCATACCGCGTTGGTGTCCAGTCCGAGCCTGGCTTTCTTCACCTTCCTACCTAACCTAAAGCCCCGGAGCCGACCATGCACCTGCGGGGCGGCGGAGCAGCGATGCGGGTGCCGCCAGCGTTCGCAACGAGGGCGTTGAGAAGGACGAGGGTGCGGCCGAGAGATGCTCACGCTGTGGCCCGTTTGGACACCTCATTGTCAAGGATGTCAATGCCGCCGCGCCGGGCGATCGCGACAACTGTGGACGCGCGGAGACGATTCTGAGTTCGCGCGTTCTCACGGCTGAGCCGAGTGGAGAGGCCGAGCGGTGTTTAGAGGCTGCGCGCCTCCGTTGGCGTAGCCGACGTCGATGCCGATGCACGACATACCCGAACACGGCGAGGGGAGAGCGGAGAGAGCCGCGCGAGTGCAAGCGTCTCGTGGGCCTAGATGCTTCGGTGCTGCGCTGTGAAGAAAAAGAGGAGGGCGTAAAGTCGGGCCGGGCTTCCCGACTTCTTTGGACTTTGCCGATGTTTGTGCTAGGTCGAAGGTCGTAGGTGTGGCACAGCTGCATGACGATGTACTCCTCAACAGTCCCACGGTGGGCGCGTAGCCTGTGCGACTCACTTTCTTCCAGCTCTCGAACTAGGGAGGCTCGAAACATTCGAGCAACCCGGTCGCTGACGCTGTGCCCAAAGCGCAAAGGTTAGTCTTTGGCGCGCAGCGCGACGGACGAGAGGGCGGGGATGCGCGTCTGCTGGCGGTGTTTTCCCCTTCTTTGAAACGACTGAAACAGTTTTTTGGACTAATTTTGGCCAGATCCGGGATCCGCGAGACCTCGGGCCAGATCCCGGATCCGCGAGACCTCGGGCCGCTCGGCACGATGTGTCCATGTAGACATGTTTGCCGTAGCAGTTAAACTTTGTCTTCAGCTGTCTTCAACCTAAATGCACGCTTCGCCCACTCAACAGCCTGCTATGTGGGCGCGCAGCCTGCTCGACTCACTCCTTATGGCAGGACAACAGGCGAGAGCAGATCAGGACGATTGGTTGGTGCAGGGGCATCTGACCGGTGTGTTTTCTTTCTTGTATTTTAAGAATTCTTTCTTTCTTGAAGCGCATAAGTGTCATTTTCTTTTGCTTCCACCGGAACGCGCCGAGCGGCCCGCGGGGGGATTTCTGCCATAGCACGCCGCGCGATAAAGAAAGAATAGAAAGAAAACAGACAAGCCAAGGGAGGGATGGGAGGACGGCACGTCGCCACCACACAGGGATTTTAAGGAGAGGAGTGTGGCGCTAGCCGTCGCGAGAACGGCGGCAAAAAGCAGACTCCAAGTTTTTTTTCTCTGGTGATGCACAATCGACCGAGAGAGTCGGGAAGCCGGGCAGCGTGACGCCGCTACCTTTACCTCCCATACGTGTTTGGCCGCTCCTTTCCTCGGCTGTTCCATCTCCTCATCTCCTTCCAGCCTAGGCGGGGCGGGGGGGGCGTGCGGGCCGCGCGGGGTGCGGTGCGGAGTGTGTGACTGCCTGCGACAAGTGACCATCCGTTTGTACTATTAACAACGAAGGCGCTCTTAAAGAAAAACTTCGCTAAAAGGAGATGAGATCACTTGGTTGCAGTATTCGGGGGCAATTCCGGGAAGGCTGCCCGCAAAACAAACAATCTAATCCAGATAGGTCCGTCAATGCACAGAGGCAGCATCCGTACGCGATTGCATCGAACGCGATTGCATTGTTGATTGCATTGTCGAACTCTGTGCAGTAGTCGTATCCTAGCGAGCATTGGCAGCAATCGAAGTTCTCATCTAGATCAGGTTCGAACCCCGAGTCAACGAATAGCTGGCAGACGAACCGGCCCTCATTCACGTTGACAAAGTTGGACGTAGCCGCCGAGACGTAGCCGGAGTAGTGGACGCAAGGATGTCCCTCCCACGCCGTCTCGCCGTCCGTGCAGTGGCGGTGCTCCTCCACCTTGAAGACCGAGATCCCCCACGCCTGACTGCTCTGGTCGTCAGCGCCGCACGAGGACGTCGGCTCGAGCAGCGCGATGTTCTTGTGGTCCCACGCACTCGAGATCAGCGCGTCCGCCTCAGCAGCGTCGCCCTCGATGGTCTTCGCGAGGTGGTGAGGGAAATCGGTGAACTTGACCGCCGTCTGCGGGTAGTAGTTGAAGGCGATGTCGGCCATGAAGTGGGCCGCGGTGTCGCCCTCCGTCTCGCTCGCCCCGACGTCGCCCTCCTTGATCACGACGTTGAGGTTCGAGCAGAACCCAGAGGTGGCGATGAGCCAGGCGGGGTCGTCGACCACGTCGGGCACGGGAGGAGAGGGCTTTGGCGCAAAGGCGAGGCCGCGAGCGGCTGGGTCGATGTCGTCGACGGTTTCTGCCTGCGCACTCGTGTGGTGCGTGTAGTTTCAAGCCTGCATGTGAGTAAGTGCGGCTGGGCGGAGCGACGCACCGGCAGGGCAGACGCCGACAGAGCGACGAGGAGAAGCGAGGCAATCTTCAGCATCCAGTCCCTGCCTGCAAGGTGTACCCCCCCACACACACACACTCCCCCCCCCCCCCTACCTACCTCCCCGCAGCTCCCGTCTCCACCCTGACTGAGCCGGATTGATTGGCTGCATGCAAGCAAGTAAGTGAGTAAGTGAGTGATCGTTGGACGGACGGAAAAACACCCCCCTTTTATGCCTGACCCTGGCCATGGCCTCTCTGGGGGTGAGCTGGGCCGGCCGCCTCCGGGTCCGCCACTCGCACGGTGGGCGCGCGTCCGGGAGAGCATCCGAGACCCGCGGTTGTCCGCTCGCTGGGCGCGACCTACATGGAAATCCACTGCACACAGATCTGTGCTTTTGGCGCCTATTGCTCGCTCTCTGTGCAATCGCAACGCCAGAGGCCGTGCTTGGAGAGTGTGTCGCGGTGCTGCTACGTCAGTGGATTGAGCCGCGACGCAGGCTCCATCGGTGAGCTGCGGCGGCGCACCGGCCGCTCCATGCATGCTCTCCGGCGAGCCGTCGCAAACGCGTCTTCCGTCCGCCCGTTTCATCGAGTTTGCCCGAGTGGTAAAATGCAATCGAATCTGCCCGAGTGGTCAAGTAAAACTTTGCCTTTCGTAAAAGTTGCCCGAGTGGTCTGTGGGAAAAAAACGAAAATCGAGACGGACTTCTTGAACGGCCGGGCAACATGTCTTCCTTACTATTATTAATTGATGCCTTTTGCACGGCTGAGCCCCCCCCCCCCCCTCCCCCGCGCCCACTCCCTGCCCTCTCCCGCCATGCACTCCGTCAGAGCCCCCTCCCCTCCTGCACAACAGGAATTTTGACAATTAACAAGATGGCACCTGCCTACTCTCGCAGGTGCGAGGGGAACTGAAATAAGACAATGGGCTTGCCCATCCCGGAGTGGTTCGATCCCACATGAATCCGAGACGGTGACGGGTGTTGTCTCGGTGATCTCAGGCCCAGTGAGGTAGTGCATCAGACTATCCCGGATCCTGCTGACCAAGCTCCTCTTGTAGCTCGATCGGTCACACCGCCATCGCCGTCGGGGAGAGGGGGGACGACACTGCTTCGGCAGCGTGCACCTCGATCCTGTACCGTGTTTGTTATGACCCCCCCCAATGAACATACCAGTGAGGGAGGGCGAGACGATCGAGGGGTCCCGTACCACGCGGAATCGGCCCTATCCAGTGCTCAAGTGCTCAAGTAAGTGAGTGAAGAGAAGAGAAGGTCGCCAAAGCGCTCGGACGGTTGCAGTGGTCGTGAGACAAGAGTATAGTGCGCGTCAGCCGTGAGAACTATATTTTGCTGCGCAAGAGCGTCCGCGAGACCCTAACCTTCGAATAACCCCAAAAAGAAACACAGGCCGGCGCGGCGCGCGAACTCTTACTCGCTCCACTCGCTCCACTCCTCTCCACACCGTACCATCCAGCATGTCCATGCGACTCGCCGACAAGGACACCGTGCAGCTCCGCTTCCCCGTCGGGACGCGCGTGGAGTGCAACTGCGGTGTGTGGAAGGCCGGCACGATCGTGCGCCACTTCTACACGCAGCGAGACTTTGACGATGGCAAGTGCGTGCCGTACCAGGTCCGGCTCGACGATGGCAAGCTCATCTTCGCGCCTAACGACGAGGACTCTGTGGTTCGGCTGCTCGAACAACAGCCCGATGGTGGTGGCAGCCGTCGCAGGGCGAAGAAGGCGCCGGTGCTGCCGCAGGGCGCGAACGAGCCGTCCCGCTTCAAGGTCGGCGACAAGGTCGAGGTCAAGATCAGCCGCAACTCAGAGCCGGGCTCTCCGCGTGGCGTCGAAATGATCAGCGCGCACAGCATCGCTGGCGGGCGCTGGGTTCCGGCCAAGGTCGCCGCCCTCCGGTACGCCCAGGACGACTGGTGTCCCGGCTTCTACTGCGCGTATGCCGTCCACGTGCACGGGGACATGACGCCCGACGGCATTCAGTACGCGACGCCCGTGCGCGAGGACGACGAGCGCTGCATCCGCGCCGCGCCAGTCGCGCCTCCGCCGCCTCCGCCGCGCTTTGAAGTCGGGCGGCGGGTGGAGTGCAATGGCGGGCAGCTCGGGTGGCGGGCGGGGGTCGTGTGCGAGGTCTGGCCCGAGGCGCCCTCGGGGGTGCGGATGCCCTACCGTGTGGAGCTCGACGGGGGCGGCACAGCGCTCATCCCGCACGACGAGGACCTCCCTGCCTTAGATGCGGCATCCAGATCGCTGTCTCCGAGTGATCGCTGTCTCCGAGCCGTCTGCCGAGGCTGCCGACGTCGCATTCGACGGCCCTTACCGCCCTCCTCTGTCTCCTCGCCCCGCAGGACCTCGGCATCCGCGCGGTGCACGTGGTCGAGTGGGGCGCCGGGCACGTGGCGTGGGACGACGCAAAGGGCGTCGAGGCCGCGTACGACCTCCTCACGGCCGGCGCGCTGCGGGACAAGAGGGCGCTGCCGAGGGTGGGGCTGTGCGGCGACGCGGCCGCCGTCGACGCGCTGGGCGACGCGGTGGCGGCGTGCCCCTCCGAGGCGCGGCGCGTCGCGCTGATGCTCGAGCAGGTGCTCGCCATGTCTCCCCATATCCGCCATATCTCCCCGTATCTCTGATGCTCGAGCAGGTGCTCGCCACCGCCGAGGAGGCGACGCCGCGCCACCCTCTCGTCGGGAGGCGTGTGCGCGTGCACGGGCTGTCCGGCAGCGCCGAGCTCAACGGGCAGCGCGGCACGGCGGTCCGCTACGCGCCCGAGCGCGAGCGGTACGAGGTTCGCCTCGACGACGGGCAAGACGGCAAGAGTGGGACGGTCGGAGTGCGCGACGTCAACCTCTCGCCCGAGGAGGATCCCATGGTGGGCGCCTCGCCGCCGCCGCCCTCTTCGCTGCCCTCGAGACAGCTCGCGACACAGCGTCATCGAGCGCGCCCCTCGCCCCCCTCTCTCCTTCCCCCGCCGCCTCTCCCCGCTCTGCTGCCCTCACTGCGTCACGCGCCTCCCGCCTCCCGCTCCGCCGCTTGACTCGCCACCGCCGCCCTCACTGCCCGCCCCCCCACCTCCCCACCCGAGGTGACTTGCCCGATCTGCATGGACGTGCGGCTCACCGACCCGCTCGGCCCGGCGCGCAAGGGCCCGGGCGAGGGCAGCGCGACGGTCACTCTCTGCTGCGGCAAGGTCGTGTGCAAGGAATGCCACGACAAGTATATGCTCGGCGGCATGGACCGCGAGGCGCAGACCTTCCCGCCGTGCCCCTTCTGCCGCGAGCCCACCGGGTACATGGACGAGCACGCCGACAAGCGGCTCGAGCGCGATCTGCTCAAGCGGCGCGCCACGCACGGCGACCCTCTCGCCATGTACAACCTCAGCGGCTCCTTCGACAAGGGCCACCACGGGCTGCCCGTCGACTACCAGGCCTCCGCTCCACCTAAACGCCACCCGCGAGCCCTTAAACGCACCCGCGAGCCCTTAAACGCCACCCGCGAGCGCTGCATGCGGCGCACCTGGCCCCAGCCTCTCGCGCGTTCGCCGCAGGCCTCCCTCGCGTGGGCGGCACTCGCGGCGATGGTCGGAGGCCACGTGCGCGCGATGAACAACGTGGGCTTCGCGCTCAAGGAGGGCGAGGGCATCCCCGCCGACGCGCGCCGCGCCGCGCGCTGGTTCGCGCGCGGCGCGGTGCTCGGCCACATCTCGTGCGTCTGGGCGCTCGGCAAGGCGTATGCGGACGGGGCTGGCGTCGCGCGCGACTTCGCCGCGGCACGGCGGTGGCTCAAGCGCGGCAAGCTGATGGGCGACTCGCCGTGCGCCGTCGACCTCAGCCGGCTGCCGGCGCCGCACGGCGAGGAGCTGGGCGGCGGCGGCGGCGCGTCGTCGCCCGGAAGCTTTCACATGCCGCCGCTGAGCACGATGCCGCCGGAGCTCGTGCAGATGATGATGGGCAGTCCGGGCATGCGCTGGCCATGAGGCTTGCCCCCGGACTCCTCGTCACCTCTGCCTGCCTCCGCCCTCGTCGGTCGCTACGAGCGGTGAGACGGCCTTGGCCGTGACGCAGCTCCGTCGGATTTGCGGTCGGCGTTTGTCTTACAGTTCGTTGTGAAAATGGTGTACCTGTGTTAGTGCCAGTGCGCCTGTGCGCGCCAGTCTTCCCGTGCGGCCGTGCCTAGACCCTAGTCAGCCCGCTAGACCCTAGTGTCGTGGAGAGAGTTTCCTTGAACTTCTTTTCACAGTTGAAAGCACCGCAGACACAGAGGCAAAGGAGCTTGAGATGAGTGGCTCTCCTTTTTTGACACGCCGCCCCTCCTTTTGCGCCGGCGAGCCTTCCCCCGCCGCTCGCCTGAGAGTGAGACATGCCGGTTGCCGCTCCACTCCACTCCTCGGCTCCTCGCGGGTAGTGAGCAAGGAGGAGCACTAGGCCTCGCCCCTCGCCGCCTCGCTTTCCTACTCCTCCGAATTTGTCCGAATCGCTACGGCATGTCCTCTCCGCCGCTGCTATCCTCTCCGTCAGAGGAAGTGGGCCCACTGGGCGGCCGGCTCGCCCACACCTCGATCTTCTTGGGCAGCAGCTGGTTCGAGAGGTCCTCTCCGTGGCCTAGGCAGCCATGGGTGCCCTTGCCCCACGTAAAGACGCCGCCGTCGGCGGTGATGGAGAGACTGTGGTGCATGAATCCAGCCGACACAGCAGTGACGTGCTGGCCAGCAAAGGCCTCGACCTGCTTCGGGAGCAGCTGGTACTGCTCGTCGCCGTGGCCCAACTGGCCATAGCCTCCAAAGCCCCAGCTCCAAACGGCGCCGTCAGTTGTGAGGGCGAGGCTGTGCTCGAAGCCAGCCGACACAGCGACGACGCGCCGCCCAGTCAAGGCCTCGATCTTTTTGGGCAGCATCTGTCTCTGCCCATCGCCGTGGCCCAGCTGGCCTGCGCCTCCATAGCCCCAGCTCCAGATGCCGCCGTCGGAGGTGATGGCAAGGATGTGGTGGACTCCAGCCGACACAGCGACGACGCGCTGGCCAGCAAAGGCCTCGATCTTCTTCGGCAGCAGCTGGTCCTGCTGGTCGCCGTGTCCCAACCTGCCATGGCCTCCGTTGCCCCAGCCGTAGACCGCTCCATCGGCGGTGACGGCAAGGCTGTGCGTGTCCATGGCCGAGACAGAGACCACCCGCCGCCCCGCCAAGATTTCGACCTTCTTCGGCAGCAGCTGGTGCTGCTGATTCCCGTGGCCCAACCGACCGTGGACTCCACAACCCCAGCTCCAGACGCCGCCGTCGGCGGTAAGGGCAAGGTTGTGGCCCAATGCAGTCGACACAGCGATGACGCGCTGGCCAGCAAAGGCCTCGACCTTCTTCGGGAGCAGCTGGTTCTGCGTGTCGCCGTGGCCCAGCTGACCATCCCCTCCACTGCCCCAGCTCCAGACGGCGCCGCTGACGGTGAGGGCGAGGCAGTGGTATCCTACAGCCGACACGCTCACGGCGCGCTCGCCCCCCAGCATCGAGGGGAGCCGGGTCGGCGTGTAGAGCTGCGCCACGTCCTCGTCGTGGCCGAGGATGCTTTGGAAATTATAGCCCGTAGAGCCACACGACGAGAGCCGCCCCTCGCCGTCGATGAAGAGGCTGTGGAAGTGGCCTGCCGCCGCCCTCACCGGCGAGTTGGACTCGCACAGCAGCGTCGAATAGCACAGCCACCGCACGGCGCAGTCCTCGCCCTCTGGCTGCGCAGGCAGCTCGTAGCCGCGCTCTTGCGCCCGCAAGCGGATGCCTTGCTCCGCGAGCGAGGAGTGGAAGAGCAGCGAGACGGCCGCGACGCGAGCGATGTCGGCAGGGTCGCAGCGAGAGAGGACGCGCACGAGGAGCTCCGACGGGAGGTCGAGCAGGCGGGCGGGCGGCGGCGTGTCTGGCGAGGGAGCGGCGGCGGTGGAGGAGGCGAGGCGGCGCGAGCGGCGCGAGCGGCGCGGCGGGGTGGACATCGCGAGAAAAGAATTTAAACTCCCATAGGGGTGGTTGAGGGGTTGAGGGTTGAGGCCCCCCCTCAACCATCTGGTTGACGGTTGAGACCCCCCGTCAACCCTTTAGTTGGGGGTTGAGGCCTCCGGGGCCTATTCACAGGCTCGCGCGTGATCACAAGATAAATTGGAACAGCCCTGCGGCAAAAAATCGCTCGCTTCGCCTGCGGCGCGCTCTTGCGCTCCTCGTACTTCGAGTGCAATCCATAAGTAGAAGACGCTCACTGTCGCCATTCAGGCGCCTGATCTTTCAGCAAAGCGATGGCCTACCAGGTACGAGTTCAGATGCGCGCCCGGCAGAAGACGCTTGTGATGCCGCATGCAGTGGAATGCGCACAGAGAACGGACGGCAAGAGAAGGCAAGGGAAGGAAGAGAAACGGCTGGTGAAGCTCAGCTCACGGCGTAGTATCGCGTAAGCAACCGCGGTCACTAACCATCCACGGCAAGAGTCACGGTGAATGCTGCCGCATAAAAGCAACAGAGTCGCGGTTGGCGCGATGATCGTTAACGACTTGACGTTGCACACGGCCATAGACGCAGATCTGTTTGGCGAGCCTCAAGCAGCGGAAGCAGGCGCGAGAAATTAATGTCAATCCTGAGATCTCAATTTGGGCGCTAGCCTTCGATTCCTGGTACATCACGACGACTTGGGTCTCATGTAGCTCGATGGCTCTCGACGGCTCTTTCTGGTTGGATGCATCAGACAGTGCTATCAGTCAACAACACAATGCCGAGAGCAGGGCGGCCTTCGAGCAGGGCGGCCTTTGAGGCAACTAAGTTCCTGCTGCATTTTGCCACTCAACTTACAACTTGATGGCGGGCGGACGTGTCGAGCATGGAAGGCGGCCATTGCTCAAACCTGTTCGAGTTGGCCTCCGGGAACAAGGGTGCGTGGCCGGCGCGGTGTCTGTTTCACGACACGTGCAATAAGGGCAACGCCATCAAAATCGCGAACATGGGCCGACATGCCTCCGACATTTCTCAGGGCTCGGACGGAAGCCTTGCAGACAGCCAGACCGCTCTGCGCGGTCGGACCGACTTTTTCAGACTTTACTATTCTGGATACTGAGGGTATGTGCTGCTAGATCTCACTGAGCTGAGCTCGTATCTGCCTTTGGTAAGCACTTTTGAGTTCGGTAATGTCTCCGGAGACGGAGGGCCGCGTCCGCGGACGACCATGACGTCGGCCGGGACCCCCCCCCGTGCGGGGGCCTTCGATGGCTGTCAGCGCTCCTCTTTGCATCACACCTCCCATTCACGCACGTAGCTGAAGCAAGTACTCGTAAAAACGGCGCGTCAAATGCAGCATCCAGGCGTCTAAAGAACGTCAATGTCGATAGCTCTTTCACGTCGGATCCCCTTGTTGTCTCCGATGTGTCGCGCCTGCGCGCTCGGCGTGTATGAAATCCATATCACCCCCTGCTCCACGACTGGGGCTTTAGGCGGCGAGGGCGGGGCGCCAGGCGGCGGTCTGTTTTCGGGGGAGTCGGGTGGGTCATCGGCGTAGCTAGAGGCCCCATCACCGATGTCGTCGAGTGGGATGGTTGTACCTCCTCCGTTAATAACCACGTCGTCGCCCACGGTGCTGCTCTCCCCGTCGTCTGCGTCTGTTGGGATCGACTCGTCTTGCCACTCCGGTGCGCCGCAATACCTCGCGCCGCTCCTGCCGAGGTCAGCTTGCTTATCGACGTAGTCGTTCCACTTATGACCACTGTGCCCCTTGACGTGTCTCCATGTCACTTCGTGCCTCGACGCTAAATGCCGCCACGCTGCTCGAAGATAGCTCGCTAGTTGTGCGTTCTCCCCCGGCGAGATTCTCCCCGTCGCACACGCCATCGCGTACTCGCTGTCCGTTCGGACCACCCCTCGTGAGCCTGCTGGTCGTGGTGCCGTGTGGAGTAGTGAGCGAAAAAGCTCCGCAAGCGCTGACAGCTCCGCCGTGTTATTGGTGTGTTTCCGCGCCCCCACGAAAGCGGCGTGCACGGGGCTAGTCACGACGGGGCCGTAGCCTTCGGTCACGAGCATGGCATTCACGTCGCATATGCCGTCCCCGCCCATGACTACGGCGTACGCCCATCCTGCCCTGCCTCCGTATTCCGACCCATCAGTGTACGCCGTCCAGTCGGGTGGTTGCTGCTGCTGTGGGGGCGTGGTGCCGTCCCGTCGACAGGGTCGCAGTATAACTCCTGACGCCTCCACCATCAGCCGCACTTTAACACGGCAAGCACCGCCCCTATCACAAGGCTCGACGCTGAGTAGTGCCATCGTGTTGCTTGTGCAATCATTTGCAGCAACGTCGCGGGCAAGCTGAAAGGGTCGTAGTCGCCGATTCGATCCGGAAGCGTAAAAAAAAACCGGTTGGCCGCTGAAGTGTCCTTGCTCGTCATGATGCTGCTCCTCGCAGGCTCAGGAGGCACGCCGTCGCCTGCGGCGCCAGTGGCGTCGCCGCTGGCGCCTGTGCCTGCGGCGCCTATGGTCGCCGGGTGTTCTGGTTTGGAACACTGCGCCGATTCGGCTGAGTCTCTGCGCTCGCTGGTACATAACGCCTCTGGTGACGCGATGCTCATCCGGCTGCCAGAGGGCGCAAACATAGACCTCGGCGGCTACGCGCTCGAGCTTCGAGGCAGCGTGGCCCTTCGCATCGAGTCGTCTGGCTTTGGTGCGTGGTTGGACGCCGGCCAGCGCTCGCGGGTGGCGAGCGTGAGGGACGGCGCTTCCCTCAGCATTGTCAACGTGCACCTCGCCCACGGCCTGGTCGAGGATGAGTCCGGAGGATGCATCCTCGTCGAAGATGGAGGTACGCTGCGCATGGAGAAGTCGGTTCTCCTCGGCTGCGAGGCGGTGGCCTCTCGCCCAATCGACCCGGGCTTTCCGGAGATCAGGGGCGGCGTGGCGGCGGCCGATGCTCACGGCGGCACAATCGCCTCACTCGGTTCGGCGGTGGAGTTGATCGACACGCGAATAGAGAGGTCGCTGGCGGTCGACGGCGCGGCAATCTTCTGTCTCGGTGGCAGCCTCTCGCTCTTGCGCTCCACAATCCGCGACTCTGCTGCGTCGCGAGAGGGCGGCGCGATTGCGCTGGTCTCTGCGTCAAACGCCACGCTGCGCGGCGTCTCGCTCGACAACAACACCGCCTTTCTGGGCGGCGGCGCCCTGTATCTGGCCGACGCGTCGCGTTTAATGCTGGTCGACTCCTTCGTCACGCGCTGCGAGGCGGGCACGGTTGGCGGCGCGCTGATGTTGGAGGGCGACGCCACCGCGGTGCTTCGCGACAGCCGCGTCGATCTGTGCTCGGCCGCGACGGGCGGCGGGGCGGCGGTTGACGCTTCCCGGCTCGAGATGCACAACTCGTCCATGACGTCTAACCGCGCGAGCGAGAATGGCGGCGGGATTAGCATCGCGGGCGGCGGTATGGGCTCGGTGTGGCTCGTCGACTCGCTGATCGAGGACGCGGTGGCGCTCAAGGAGGGCGGCGGGGTCTTTGTCGAGGGCGGCGTGCTCCTTCTTGAGCGCTCGCAGATCCTGCGCTGCGCCACTCACTACGATGGCGGCGGTATGGCGGTGCTGGCCGGCGGCGCGGCCGAGCTGCGCGAGAGCACCGTCGTCGAGTGCGCCGTCCACGAGATCCGCGGCAAGGGCTCCGCCCTCTTCGTCAACTTTGGCGCCAGCGTCGTGCTGCGCCGCACCCGCATCGAGCGCTGTGACTCGGCGATGTACGGCACCGTCTACGTCGGAGGCCGCCTCAACCTCGCCTCGTCGGCGATTGCGCACTGCGTGGCGCGCGACATCGGCGGCTCGGGGAGCGATTACGCGTCGCGCCGCGGCGGCGTCGTCTGGGTGGTGCACGGCGGCGTGGCCAGACTCACCGACTCGACCATCGACGACTGCCACACATACGACGCCTCACCCACGTGGCACTCCTCGATGACGCTCCGCGCTCGCTCTCGCCGCCTCGCCGCGCCGCCCGAGCCGTCGTTCGCGCCCGTATCGGTCGACCCGCATGGCACTCTGTCGCTGGCCAACACGGTCTTTAGCAACTGCACCGCCCAGACGGGCGCCTCGGCCGTCTTTGTTTCGGCGGAGGCCCACCTCCGCACGGCGATGCTCTCGCTCGAGCTGCCCTGCCTCGCTGGCGTGCCGCCCGCCATCCACGCCGACCGAGGCGCCGACCTCTCCATCCGAGCGCTCAGCGTCTCGCAGCCCGACAACTGCCGCCGGGCCCCCGCGGAGCTCGCCGCGTCCGCCGTCTCGGGCGCTGCGGCTACTCTCGGCGCCGGCGTTAGCCTCGTCGGCGGCGAGCAGCCTGGGGCGGGCGAGGCGCCGGCCTCCCTCTGCTCGGCGGGCACGTGCGCCACAGACGCCGCGTGCACGGCCGACTACGAGGCGATGGCGGACGCGCTGATGGTGACGGCGCGCTGTAGCTGCGAGCCGCCGAACCTCCCCTCGCCGGAGGCGGCATCGGCCGAGCTCGCGCCGTACGAGGGAGGCTGCCTGACGCCGCGCGAGGGCGTGACAGTCTCGGTGCCGCAGGCGGTGGCGGAGAACGTCGTGATCGAGTTGTCCAAGACGTCGCGCCCCGAGACCGCCAACCGCACCATCGTGCTGCACATGGGCGGGTCCTCTTCTGCCGAGGCGAGCAGCCACCTGCCTGGGGAGGGGGGGGGGGGTCCCACGCCGCGTCCGTGACGTGTGTGTCCACGCCGCGTCCGTGACGTGTGTGTGGCACGTCCTGTAGGCGGAGTGGACGTGAAGGCGGGAGGGACAGGTCCAAGACACGTCCACGACATGTCCGAGACATGTCCTGTAGGCGAGGTGGACGGTCGACGAGGGCGCGCTGCCTCCGTGGCTCTCCGTGTGGCCAACCTCGGGCGTACTGCCCGCGGGCGTCGACAAGGCGGCGCTCTTCACCGTGAGCGCCTCCTCGGCGCACGTCGCCGAGCAGTCCGAGCCATACACCGCCGCCATCAACTTGACAGTCTCGTCGCAGCGCACAAAGCTGTTTCGCGTGCCCGTGCTCGTCATCGTCGCGGTCACCACGAGCGCGAAGCACTCGATGTGGGGCGAGGCGCGGCCGACCGAGGAGGGCAGCTTCGAGTGCGAGCGCGCCGACGCGCCCCCGCCTGTCGAGCTCGAGGTGGGCGAGGAGCGCGAGGTGGTCTTCACAGCTTGCGACTCGGAGGTGCGCCGCGACTCGCCGAGACTCGCCAAGATTCTCTGCCCTCCGCTCGCTCCGGCGCCAACCGCCGCTTCTTCACCTCGTAGGGGCTCCGCGTCGCCCACTCGCTGCCGTCGCTGCGCTCGGAGGCGGTGGCCGCCGCCGGGCCGAAGGCCTTCCACGTCGAACTGCACGACCGCGAGGGTCTTCGAGCCGCACGACCGGCGGAGATGCTGTACGCCTACGTCTCGCTCGGCAGGTACAAGGCGACGGTGGCTTCGCCTCTTGTCGGTGACCTCGACCTGCTGCTCTACGTCGACGGCGCCCTGGTCGACTCTCGCCACGTCGTGGCGCGCTGCCCGCCGTACCTGGTCCCGCTGCCCGACCGCTCTTGCGGCTGTGACACGAACCTCGAGCCGGTCGGCGGGCTCGCAGAGTCGCAGGGCTGCCGCCCATGCTACATGGGCTACCACAAGGGGGCGCCTGGCAACGGGTCGTGCCAGCCCGACACGTGGCCCATCATCGTCTCTTCCGTCGGCGGCGCACTCGGCCTCGTGATGATCCTAGTGCTCGTCATCTTTGCGCGTCGCATCTACCAGCGCCACCTCCTCGCCATGGCGGCCGCCGAGCGAGAGGGCGCCGAGAAGCGGCGCCGCATCCAGGAGGCGGTCAAGGGCGTGACCAGCCTCAAGTTCCCACTGTCGGTGATGCCGCTCTCCAAGCTGCGCGAGCAGGGCCGGCTGATGCCGTACGAGGAAGCGCGCGACGCGGGCGTCCTGCGCTGCTGCGACACCATGGAGGCGGCCGTCAGCTTCGCCGCCGACCACCCGCTGGTGTTTGTGTCGCACCAGTGGCTGTCGGCCAGCCACCCCGACCCTCACTCGCAGCACTACCCCATCATCCTCGAGGCGGCCGAGGCGCTCTGCGCGGAGCACGGGCTCGACCCGAGCAAGCTGCACCTCTGGCTCGACTACCACAGCAGTGAGCGCGCCGGCCCACACCCCTCCGGCTCCCCTGTTCGCCTTCGGCCACCCTGACCGCGCTGCCCGCGCTGCCCGCCGCCGCAGTCCCACAGGCCAACGAGGCGACCAAATGGCTCGCAATCGGCTCCATCGCCCTCTACGCCGCCTGCTCGCACTTCTTCGTCGTCGCGGCGCCGCACGCGCTGCACGTCGACTCGAGCCCTCCGCGCCGGGTCGACGCAGAGACGTACCTGCGGCGCGGCTGGTGCCGGCTCGAGCAGGTGACTCCATGGCCTTCCCTTCCCACCCCCTTTGCCCTCATCGACCGACGGACCCCCCCCCCCCCCTCCCTCACCACCACCACACGCAGTGGGCCTTCATCGCCATCAACGGCACACAGCAAATGTACGTGTATGAGACGTCCCTCGCGCGCATCGCGGAGCGGCGGCGGTGGATCGAGGAGTCGGTCAACGTCTTTCAGGGCGACTTCACGCTCGAGTCGGACAAGGCGCACCTCGTCGACGTGGTGCTCGGGCTATACGGGCTCGCCGTCGTCGCCGCCATCGAGCTGCGCTACCGCTCCGTCCGCGCCACGTCCGTCTCGAGCAGCGGCGGAGAGGCCCGCGTCACCGCCGTCGGCTCGCGCGCGACTCGCACGTCGCAGGAGGTCTCGTCGCGTCAGCTGACAGAGCTCATCACGGAGAGGCGCGATTTCATCTTCCCTCCGGAGCACTTTGGCGACCTCGTTGACCGGCTCGAGGAGGAGCTCGAGAACGCCGCGCTTGAGCGGTTCGGCTCCGAGGCGGGCGTGAGGACCCCCTCGCCGGTGCGGTGCGCCGGACACGCGGCCTCCGAGACCTTCCGCGCGGCGCTGACCGCGCGACGCACGCTGCAGCACATCTTCCCACCCCTCGTCAACGGCGGCCGCCGCTCCGGGTGCGAGGCGCAGCCCTCGTCGCTGTCTTCCGCCGCCGGGACCAGGCGGTGGGGGTCACACACCTCGTACGCCTCCTCCCCGGGGGTCGAGCTCGTGGGCAGACCGCCCTCGGCCTTGAGCCCAACCACCAAGGTGAGGGCGAGCGGCGACGGGCCGCGGCGAGCCAGCCACTGCGCGGCCAGCCAAGCCACCCGCTACGCCGCCTCGCCGCCCCGCCGCGTCTCGTTTGTCGACCCGCCGCCGCCAACGGGGGGGAGGCGGAGCTGCGGCGCGGCGCCTCCGCCGGTGCAAGTGCCACCTCCGCCGCGGCGCTTCAGCCTCGGCTTCGCCGGCCTCGCCGGCCTGCCGCCGCTGCAGGGCATGAGCGGCAAGCCGCAGGAGCGGCGCAGCTCGGGGACGGCGCGCCAGCTGGCGCCGATGGCTCCCGTCTCCGAGCGGCGCTCGCTCTCACGCCCCTCGCACGCGCGGTCGCAGTCTGGCACGGGGTGGAGGTGCCCGCCCGCCACGGGAGGGACGGTCGCCGAGGGCGACGACCGCAGCAGTCGGAGATCGAGCACGGCGATGGACGTCGTGACGACGTGACGCACCGGGGCTGTGTGCGTCATCAACTCATCAATACGAGAAGAGGGAGGGAGCGTTGTGTGTTTTAGCATTCTAGCATAGTGTGAGATATCGTGCCGTGGAGAGTTGTGTGTCTGTGTGTGTGTGTGCGTGCGTGGTGTGTGTACGGTAGGCGAGAGAGAGCCGGCGTGAGACTACGTACAGCGCGTACAGTATATCGGGAATGGCGCGCACTGACAAAAGAAAAATCGCGTCGCGTTCCAAAGGAAGGAACACAAGTTTGCGTGCGTTCGACTCGCACGTCGCATGCCGGAGCCGGTCCCTTCCGAGGCCGTTGGCATCCCTTCCGAGTTCGAGGGGCGCGGCGTGTTCCGGTACGCCAACGGCGACGTCTACGACGGTGAGTGGAAGGCGGGCGAGAAGGAGGGGCGCGGCGTCTACCGGTTCGCCGACGGCGACGTCTACGACGGCGAGTGGAAGGCTGGCAAGTACGAGGGGCGCGGCGTCTACCGGTGCGCCAATGGCGGCGTCTATGAGGGCAAGTACAAGGCGGGTAAGCCGAAGGGGCGCGGCGTCTTCCGGTGGGCCGATGGCGACGTCTACGACGGCGAGAGCTCATCTGCTTCCGAGGGCACCTTCACCTCCGATTCAGAGGAGGCAGCATCACCACGGATGCCACTGACGGAGACAGAGCGAAGGACGCTCTCGTGCCCAATAATGCAGGAGCTCATGGCCGACCCTGTCGCTGCGGCCGACGGACATGTCTACGAGCGCGAAAACATCGAGCGCCACTTTGAGGCAGAGCGCGAACGGTTGGCAGAGCCGCAGACCACTGAGTGCGACGCTGCGCGCGATGACGCATGCTGTGGTTCGCCGCGCGAGCGCCGTCAGCACTACAACTCACCGATGGGTGGTCCGCTGCAAGACACGCGACTTGTGCCAGTCCATGCAATCGTCTCATTGATCGAGGGTGCTATTGATCTGCAGCGAGTCGATGCCGCTGAGGCGCGCGACTGGCGCGAGCGGCGCGAGGCGGCAATCGCCGCGACGCGGCAGCGCGAGGCGAGGGAGGGCCCGGCAGTTGCAGCAGCGGAGGAGCCTCGAGGGCCACAGGGCATCAAGCAAGGCTGGCTCATGCCGCGGGGCGTGCGGCGCTACTTTGTGTTGAGCACCGACAAGCTCGTGATCTATGAAGACGAGCGTGCCACCGAGATAATCGCGCTTTTCCCAATCTCAGTCTACAGCACGGCCCGCATTGAGCACTCTCAGCTGTTGCTGCACACACCCGACACGGAGCGGGACAAGGAGCTGGCACTGGGCGCGCCTGCTGGCGAACCGCCGCTCTACTTGGAGGAGTGGTGCGATGCAATCCGCGACGTCATTGCTGAGCGATCGAGTTTGCCAGCCTATGTGCCGAGGGCGGAGGACGTGCGGATCTTCTCACCATCGGAGCCGCATCCTTCGCCCGTGACTGGCCTCGCCGTCGCACTTTGCGATGAGGAGGCGCTCGTACCAAAGCTGTCGACAACCCGATGCATGGTGCGAAGCTGCTTGCGCGAGCTTGTGCCCCCAGAGGGGCAGTCGCGCCACCAGGCGTCTCACCAGTGCCGTCGCTGTGGCCGTGTCATCTGCCTGCATTGTGGCGCGTACGAGGCTCTCTCATTCGAGGCGGAGTGTATCGACGAGGTCTGGCGGGTCGAGTTCACGCCGCCCGAGTCCTATCGCATCTGTGTGGAGTGCTTCGAGGACGCCACCGGTCGCATCGAGGCCACGCCGCCGGCCGAGGGAGATGGACTATTGCGGTCTGCGCTCGCTGATAAGCTCGACGCGTACGAGGACGCGGAGCTGCGAGAGTGGCGCGGTGAGGTGGAAGCCGAGGAGGAAGTGTGCTTTGAGCAGCAAGAGCGCGCCGCCGTTGAGGAGCACGAACGCGAGATGGTGGCGCTCAACGAGCGCATCCGTCGCGCTGGGGCTGCCGCGGCCCATGTTGCTGGCGTATGCGCCCACCCCGCGCCGGCCTCGAGCGGAGCTTCCGATCTAGATCCGCTGCAGCAGCGGGTGACTGCGCTGGAGGAGCGCCAGTTGCTTTTGCTCTCGGGTGACGATGATGAGGACGAACGGCAGCGGGAGCGACGCGTGCTCGAGCTGTCCGAGGTCGAGGCGCAGCTCGAGGACGCGCAGGTCAGGCTGGCCGTTGCGGCATCGCAGCAACTTCCGCAGCAGCTGCCACGGCAGCCGCAGCCGCAGCCGCAGCCGCAGCCGCAGCCGCAGCCGCAGCCGCAGCCGCAGCCGCAGCCACAGCCGCAGCCGCAGCCGCAGCCGCAGCCGCAGCCGCAGCCGCAGCCGCAGCCGCAGCCGCAGCGCACCCCCAGCTTCATGGGTCGTTTGGCTGCGCATCTCTTCGGCACTACGGTCGAGGAGTCGGGTGAGTCGTCTAGCGCGGTAGGAGCCTCAGCAGCCTCTGCCTCGGGACAGAATGCCGAGCTGCCCTTCGGGACTGAATGGTGCAATTTCTGCGGCGGCACAGGCCGCAACGGATTTAGCACGTGCACTTGGTGCGCCACAGGCCGGGAGCTGGCCGCGGCTGAGGCCGCCTCCCGTGCGGAAGCCTCGCGGTCTGAGGCCGCAGCGAATGCCGAGCTGCCCTTCGGGACTGAATGGTGCATTTTCTGCGGCGGCACAGGCCGCAACGGATTTAGCACGTGCACTTGGTGCGCCACAGGCCGGGAGCTGGCCGCGGCTGGGGCCGCCTCCCGTGCGGAAGCCTCGCGGTCTGAGGCCGCAGCCCAGGGCCCCATGGAGCAGCAGGAGCAACAGCAAGTGCCGCCTCACCGCGGCCGCATTGGTCGTTTCGTTCGAAATGCCGAGCAGGAGGTGTCGTCTAGCGCGGAGGCCTCGGAGCGTGGCGAGCTGCCTTTGGGGATCAAATTCCCCACGGAGCGTGGCCTTGCAAGAGAGGCAAGGGTGCGCAACCGTGCGGAGCTCTATAGGGCGGAGGTGCGGTCGCGGCTCGAGGCTCGGAGCTTGGCTGCAGACAACGAGCGCGAGCAGCGCGCGCAGGCGAGGCGCGCGGAGGCCGCACAAGCTGAGGGCCAGGCAGAAGAAGCCGCGCGCAGAGCAGAGGCGCGGCGGCAGGAGCGGGAGCGGATTGCGCGCGAGGAGGCGGAGGCGCGGCAGCGCGAGCAGGAGCGATTGCGGCGCGAGGCAGAGAGGCTCGAGGCTGAGCGGGTGGCTGCGCGAGAGCGGGCGGAGGCGCAGGCGGAAGCAGCGACGGCAGAATTCTTGCGCCGGAATGGGGGGCAGGGCAACCCATACGGCAACACTGAGATGCGCATGTGCCGCAGGTGCCGCGCTGGGCCTGTGGAGAATCGGGCCTGCGACGATTTGGCGTACCACAACAACGAGGATGGGGGTGGGCTAAACCGTTGCAGGAGCTGTGGCTGGTTCAGTCGGCAGTGGGGCGATTGGCTGGAGTGGGATGGTGTGATGGGGCCGCACTGAGACACGGGTTTGAGTACTTGGCGAGGTCTACGTGTGCCTCTCTGCATGAAGCCTCGGAGGGTATTTATTTCATTTCTTGCATTTGTTTTCTAGTGGCCTGCCTCCATGAAAAATGAAAAATGAGGTAGATTCCTAGAAAACATATAGAGGCACAAGGCGCTATCCCTATCGCGTAGAGCCAACCAGGGCTGTCTTGTGTGTGCGTCGCATCATTACGCATTCTAGCATAGTGTGAGAATGTGACGTGGAGAGTTGTGTATCGTTGCGCGTGCGCGCGTGTGTGCGCGTGTGCGGAATACTGCGGTGTGTGTGTACTGTAGGGCGGTGAGGGAGAGCCGGCGTGAGACTACGTTCTACGTTATAGCGCGTACAGTTCGAAACAGCTGACCTGCCCCCCGCCGTTCGGTGGGTGGCCGAACCTCATGTACAACTCCAAGCGAAACAAAGTGCAGTAGAGAGCACACGAGACCACGCCCTCCACGCGTCCCAACACCCAAGGGGCGCGGGGCGGCCGGGGCCGCCAGCAGCGTGACGGGCGATGGCGCGGGAGGCGAGGCTGATGGCGTCCTTCAGGAAGCGGAGGAGTAGCACGCTCTTCGCGACAGAACCCTTACGTGTAACTGTCGGTATTATTCGTTTTGCGTGTACTCGTAGTGTTGTAAGGACGTGCTGCTCTGAGAGCCAGACGTCTCGAACACAGAGAGCCCGGGCCCTTTCGGAGTCGCGCACGCACAGGACACCACCAGAAACATAGACCACCATGCCAGTCCTCGTCGACGCACGGGCGAGTCGGATGGGGCTCGGCCCGCTTGCTCAGCGCACGTTAGCTACGCCGTGGGCTCAGGCCCCCCCGTTCTCACACCGACGCCGCTCGTTCAGGCCTCGCCGAACTCGAACTTGAACTCGTGGCCCTCCTCCTGCGCATTCCACTTTGCGCCCGCGATCTTGAGATCGTAAGGCTCGCCCTTCGCCTTGAGCTCCTTGGCGAGGTACTTCAGGAACTTCTTGTGGCTGCGTGGGGCGGAGCGCGCGACGGGAGGTGAGATGCAGCGGCGCAGCAAGGCGCGTGCGGGGGGGGGCGTGTGCGGGCGTGTGCGTGTGTGGAGGCGTGGAAGTGGGTGTATCACTTCTTCCCGCTCTTCGTGATGGTCATGGAGGTGGGCGAGCCAGGCTTCGGGGAGGTGGAGGACTTCGCCATGTTGCTGATTGTAAGTCTGCGCGCGCGTCGGGGGGGAGCTCCCGTGAAGCAGGCCGTGGCGGTAACGATTGCCGGGAGAAGGGCGAGCGGGATGGGGCTGAGGGGCGTGTACGTCGGCGGGCTGGGCGGCGGCGAGGGTGGCAGCGGCGAAGGGTGGGTCCGCACGCAGCGGGGCGCGCGGCTGTGGTTCGCGGCGGAGGCTTGCTGATATGTCTTCTCTGCCGCGGCGTCTGCGACGTCTGCGTGCGCGCGGCGAACGCTGTGCACAGCGTGGGTGGCGGCGGGGTGTCGGAAATGAGCCGTGGCGGGGTGGGCGATGCGCCGCGCCGCGCCGACGGCAGGCGGGGGTGGGACGCGGGGCCTCAGAGGATGAGTTCGCTACACGGATCCTATCAGCACCTGCAAGTCGCCTTTTTTTTGAGCCGCTGCGGCCAGTTCATACCCGAAGTTCAAGCTTCAACCTCAACCCCGAGTCCAAAAAGTTTTTTCCTTTGTGTGTGTGTAACACAGCCAACAGAGGCAATTGCACAGAGAGGCAACAAGCACAGAGAGAGGGCGAAACCGACGTGTCGCCCCACCACACGCGTGAAGGCATGAACACGCCTGTGGCTATACCCATCATGTAAGAAGAACAGAGTGCCACCGCTCTGGCCCCCTGCCCCGGAGCTCGCGAGTAGTCCGGTGGCGTGCGCGGTGGGCAACGCATGCGGCGTAGGAGAGGGGGCGGCGGGCGGGAGTACAGGGGAGGGCCAGCACTAGGGCCCCCCGAATGAGCTGGAGCGCCGCAGCCGCGCGTGGGGATTGGAGCCCGCGGGGGCGGCCGCGAGGAACGGCACCGGCGGCGGCGACGGCGACGGTCGCGCGCCACCCGACGCGGTGCTCTCGCTCTCCTACGCGCCCAAACACTCGGTGAGGCGCTCGCCCTGTGCCCGCCCCCCCGTCCCGTGCTCGCCCGCCCCGCCGCCTTTCCGCCGCCCGCCGCGGAGGCCGCCTGCAGGACGCTGCCGCCTCCTCTGCCGCCTACTCCCGCAGAGCGGGGTGTCAGGGCGGCTCCGCAGGCACCGTCGCCACGGCGCCTCCACCCAAGCGCTTCGACGCGGCCGCGGCGGACGGGGCAGCCGTTGCGCCGTCGGCCGCGGCGCCGTCCGAGGGCGGAGGGAGGCGGAAGGGGGCGCCCCACTCGGCGGAGGAGGAGGGCCCGCCCGCAGGCAGCTGGAGCGGGGTGAGGCCCGCGGGCGACGCCTCTCCCGCGAGAGGCGCCGTCGGCGGCGAGCCCGCCCGCACGCTCACGACGCCCTCCATGCCGGCGAGCGAGGCCTGCAGACGCGCGTCGAGGGGGAGGGTGGCAGGCGGCCGGGGAGGGCGAGGTGCGGGGAGAGAGGGAGGGAGGCGAAAGAAAGGGAGGGAGGGGAGGGAGGGGAGGGAGGCAGGGAGCAGCGTCTCGGAAGTGTCTCGGAAGTGTCGCCTGCAGAGACTCGAGCTCGGCCCGCTCCCCGGCCGGGGGGGCCTCCCCGCCGCCCGAGCCGCTCGCGTCGTCCAGCACGTAGTCGAGGACGATCAGCTCCTCGCCTCCGCCGCCCTCGCCCCGCTCGCCTCCGCCGCCTCCGCCGCCGTCCGCCGCCGTGAAGGAGCGCACGCGCCGCACCCGCTCGATTGTCTCATGGATGCGGGGCAGCACTTGGTGCATCGTGCGGCGGTACGCGGAGACGCGCAGCACGGCGCCGACCGGCGAGAGGACCGGCGAGGTGAGCACCTGAGACGAGATCACCCGAGATCACCCGAGCTTGCCCGAGCTTGCCCGAGCTTGCCCGAGCTAGGCCGAGCGTGGGACCGGGGAGGGGAGCACCTCCTCCGCCGTCGGCCTCTCGCGCGGGTCGGTGGCCGTGCACCAGAGGACAAACTCCGCGAGTTGCGGCGCCTGGGGCGAGCTCAGCCGAGGTCACCCGAGATTGCCCGAGATCGGAGGAGCGACGCGGCGAGCCGCGGCACCGCCGCGGCGAGGGCGCGCGGCACGCAGCGGCGCTGCAGCGCGGTGAGCTCGGTGATCCGCTCCATCTGGGTGCCTGATCTCGCGCAATCTCGGGTGAGCTCGAAGTGAGCTCGAAGTGGGCTGCGGTGGCGCGCTCCCGGGAGCGTGCCGAAGGGGCAGCAGAGCTCGAGGAAGATGACGCCGAGCGCGTAGACGTCCACCTGAGAGGAGGGGGGGGAGAGGAGCGTGCAGTGGTGGGGGCTCCGGGCAAGGGGCTGGGAGAGGGGGGGGGGGGGGAGGGAGGCGGGGTGTGTGTGGCAGGGCCTCGCCTTGAAGTCGTACGGCCGCGACGCGCGCTGCTCGGGCGACATGTACAGCGTGGTCCCCACGCCGCGAGTCACGGACCGGTCGTGTCGGTCGTGCCGGCTCCCGCTGACGAAGCGCGGCAGCGAGACGGACCTCCACTCGTCGCCGCCGTCGGTCGCGCCGTCGGCCGCGCCGTCGGCCGCGCCTGCTTCAACAGCCCTCGGCTGATGAGTGGGCGGACTCGGCGAGGGCCCGTCTGGCCGCGCCAAGAGCGGCGCGCCGTTGGCTGAAGCGAGCAGCTCGGAAAAGGAGCCTTGCCCCGAGGGGAGGAGGGCGGGCGGGTGCGCCGCGATGTCGCCGAGCGAGGACGGCGCGCCAAACTCGCGCGAGAGGCCGAAGTCGCCAATCTTGAAGATGGAGTCGTGCGTGAGGAAGACGTTGGAGGGGGTGAGGTCGCGGTGAATGAGGCCTGCGCGCGTCCTCAGGCGCGTCGGGCACGCGCCGCGGGCGGTGGGCACCTGCACCTCAGCCGCACCTCGGCCGCACCTCGGCCGCATCTCGGCTATGTCTCCGGCTATGTCTCCGGCTACGTCTCGGCCGTTGCTATGGATGTGCTGCAGCCCGCGCAGCAGCTGCAGGAAGACGGGGCGGCTCGCCGCGAGCGACGCTACGGGACACGTCGAGGTGAGTCTGTCGCGGACGTGTCACGGTACGCGCCGCTCGGTGCGGCTGTGCGGTAGTCCACCGTCGCGTCCGGGCTCGTTGAGCCACGCGCGCATGGTGCGCTCGCACAGCTGCATCTGGATGAAGAGCACCTGCCGCGTCGGCGGGCCGAGGCCGCTCGCCACGGCCACCGCGGCGCGGCGGGTGGAGACGGAGGTGTGCGTCGAGTCGCCTGCCGGCCATCGGGGAAAGGGACATGTCTCGGACATGTCTCGGACATGTCTCGGACATGTCTCGGACATGGCTCCGGGAGAGCTCCGCCCCGTGGAGGGGGAGGGCGTGTGGCGGCGCGCCCGTGTACGAGTCCTCGCCCTCGTCGGACGAGTCTGCAAACTGCTCGACGAGCTGCGCCTCGCCCACCACCTCCTTCCACACCTGGTAGTACCGCACGACGTGCACGTGGTCGAGCCTCGCCAAGCAAGTCGCCTACACCGACCACCAGCAACGGCACTCTCCCCACGGGGTCCACACTGCCCCCGCGGCCGAGCAAAGGCAGAAGGGCGTCGCCTCGCGCACCGCACGGTCCTGCGCGCGCTCCGAGCCGGTGAGCAGCACCTTCTTCACCGCATACTCCACGCCGTCCAGCCGGTGCGTCGCGCGGTACACGCGCCCAAACCCGCCCTTGCCGAGGCACGCGCCCTCGACAAACTCGGCGGCGAAACGGGACGGCGGCGGCGGCGGAGGAGGAGGAGGAGCGCTCTGCGTCGCCGGCGAGCCATGCTCCATCCCACCCGCCGCCTCGCTCTCGGGCGACGACGGCTCCGCCGCCGCCGCCACCGCCGCCACCGCCGCCGCCGCCGCCTCCGCCGCCGCCTCCGCTGCCGCCGCCGCCTCAGCCGCCGCCGCCCCCTTCCTCCGGCGGCGCAGCGGTGCTGTGGCGAGGCAGGCGGCGGCGGCGGCGAGGGCGACCGCGGCCGCCGTGGCGACGAGCAAGACGGCGTAGGTGAGCGAGCGGTGGGAGCGCGGCCACGCGTCCAGCAGCGCGCGCGGCAGCACGCGCGAGAGGAAGCGGCTCTCGACGGCGAGCAGCAGCTGCTCCACCGTCGCCTCGTCGAGCAGCAGCAAGCCAAAGTCCGCAGAGTCGGGCGGCGGCAGCAGCTCCACGACCGCCGCCTCGCCCGCCGCGCCGCCCAAGCCGACAGGCGCCCACAGCGCCCTGCTCGCCCCCGCCGCGCCTCGCAAGCCTGCGGGCGTGGGCAAGCCAGGCCGCGCGGGGGGGGAGGGCAGCGCAGAGGCGAGCGGAGGCGCGATGCGCGGCAGCAGAGCGGCGCGCCGCACGCTCTGCCCGCGCCCGAGCCGCGGCGGCAGCACCCGGCCGAGCAGCGGCAGCAGCGGCAGCAGCGGCGCCGCACCGCGCGAGCCGTGGCTCGAGTGGAAGTCCTACTCTCGGCAACACCTCGCGTCGCCTCGCGGAACCTGCGCGCGGGCCGCGGCTCGCGGGGGGAGGTCCTTGCGCGGCCCGAAGCCGCCGCCCCCTCCTCCTCCGGGGGCAGTCAGCGCCGTCGACCCCTCGGGGGGGCTCAAGAGGGCGACGGCGCCGCTCGACTGCACATGCGCGTCGCCCTCCGGCGCGGGGGCAAAGTGGAGCCTCGTCTGGCTCCCGACCTGCATCCACGGGCGGCGACTCAGTCGCCCCGAGTCGCTCGGGGGGGGGGGCTGCGGCGCCCCGCCTCGCGGCCCGCACGGCGTTCACGGCTCGCGGTGTGAAGAGACGCCGCTCACACGTTGTGCTATAAACAGGGCTCGGACCGCCGACTCAAGAGACGGCCTTGACGGTGCGAGGGCAGCGTGTGCCTCTCTACGCGCCACTCTCTACGCGGCGCGCACCGTCGTGTCGAGCAAGTAGACGAGCGCGGGAGGCGACGCGAACCGGACCGACCACGCGCAACCGCCGCCCGCCTCCTCGGTGGCGCACAGCAGGTGGTCTGGCAGCAGCTGGAAGGAGCGGCGGAGTGGGAGCCCGCGGCGGCGGCCGCCCGGAGGCGGCGGCGTCGTGCGCGGCGTCAGCTCGATGTCGTACTGCGCGAGCGACACGTTCCACGCCTGCCGTCCGCGAGGGAGTGTCGTGGGAGTGTCGTGGGAGTGTCGTGGGAGTGTCGTGGGAGTGTCGTGGGAGTGTCGTGGGAGTGTCGTGGGAGTGTCGTGGGAGTGTCGTGGGAGTGTCGTGGGAGTGTCGTGGGAGTGTCGTGGGAGTGTCGTGGGAGTGTCTCGGGAGTGTCTCGGGAGTGTCTCGGGAGTGTCTCGGGAGTGTCTCGGGAGCGCTCCGCGCCTGCCGTCCCGAAGTGCGGTCGAGGACTCGGATCTGGTAGTCGGACCTGCGGGGGCCGTGTCAGGGACGTGTCATGGACATGTGTCCAGGAGAGGGCCCGCGCCGGAGGGTCTGCTCACCGCGAGATGAGCAGCTCCCCTGCTATCTCTCGGCTAAATCTCGGCTAGATCTCACCGCGAGATGAGCAGCTCCCCTGCCGACGGGCGCTCCCCCGCGCGCGCCTCTTCGGCCCCAGAGGTCGGGCCTGGCTCGGAGGCGCATTCGCCCTCCCCCACGCCGCCCTCCCCTCCCCCCCCTCCCCCGCCGCTTCCGCCCTCAGCGCCTTCGCCGAGCTGCCTCGCCTCCGAGCGGCGCGCTGCACTGCGACGCTCGGAAGGAGCCTCCGCCTCCTCCTCTGCTGCCGAGTCGGCGGCGGCGTCCTGCCCGGTGGCGAAGTAGAGCGGGCGGCCCGAGTCGGGCTGCAGGGAGAAGAGCGTCGACGACTTCGAGCCGAGGAGCAGCCCGCCGTCGGTAAAGGTCGTCGGCGCCGCAACCAAGTCCTGCACCGTCAGCTGCGCGAGACGGGAGGGGGGGGAGGGGGGGCGGGGGGAGGGTGGGAGGTCGGCGGTCGGCGGTGGCAGCGTCGCGGGCGGTTGGAGGCAGAGGGCGGCGCGGCGTTCGGAGGGGGAGGCACGCGGAGGACAGAGGGCGTGGCGCGCCTCCGTCAACCGGACAAGCTCCTCCGACTCCTCGTCGAGCAAAAAGATGGACCCGTCCAGCCCAGGCACGACGAGGATCTCCTCCGCTTCGCCGTCGACCAGAGCGCCGCCGGTGGAGCCGCCTGCCCCTCCCTCGCCCTCCCCGCCCTCCCCCTCCTCCTTGCCGCCGCCCACGCCGCCGCCGCCCGCCGCTCCATCGGGCTCGGAGCCGCCCTCGCCGCGTGCCTCGCTGCTGCGGGCAGCCTCCCTGCGAGCCTTCTCGGCGGACGCGACGTCCGCCCACGCTCCTCCGGATGAGCCGCTGCCGGGATCCCGCTGCGTCGGAGCGCTGGGACTGGCAAAGGCGCCCGTCGCCTCCGCCCCTGGAGGCGGCTCGGCGGCGTCGGTAGCGAAGAGCGACCCGAGGTCAAAGGCCGAGGAGCCAATCAGTGGCCCGCCCGCGTCGAGCGACCACAGGAGCTCACCCGTAGAGCCCGCAACTGCGTGCACGTCGCCGTCGAGCGTCGCGACCAGAAGCACCGAGTCACCGTGCACTTGCACCGAGCCGCCACCAACACCGCTGCCGCCGAGGGTGTGCTCGTCGGGAGCTTGCTCTGTGGGGCTGCGGCTTGATGGAGGCGGCAGGTGCTGCAGATTCGTCTGCGCACTGGTGAGCTGTGGTATGGCGAGGGCGAAGACGAGAAGCGACAACGCACGCAGGGGCCTCAGCGCCACCACCGTGAGCGGCACTTTAGACTGCCCGGAAAAAGAATTCGCGCGTGAAGAAAACACCAACGACGCACGCACACGCACACGCACGCCCATGGGGGTGCGTGTGCGTGTGCGTGTGCGTGTGCGTGTGCGTGTTTCATGCGTGCGTGCGTGGCGTGCGTGCGTGCGTGCGTGTGTGAGAGAGAGAGGATTTTTAGCAAGTTGTTGTTTCGTGTGTGTGTGTGTGTGTGTGTGTGTGTGTGTGTGTGTGTGTGTGTGTGTGTGTGTGTGTGTGTGTGTGTGTGTGTGTGTGTGTGTGTGTGTGTGTGTGTGTGTGTGTGTGTGTGTGTGTGTGTGTGTGAAAGGGGGGGGTTGGGGGGTTCACGTCACTGCGTCCTCCCGAGCAAGTCGATGAAGAGCTAGCTCGGGTATGAATTCTCAAAGGACGACCTTTGGCCCATCGTGAGCTCGGCGTCCCATGGCGGCAGCAGAGCTGCCGCCTCGTTCGGGCGGCTTCGGACCCTCGACCTAATTGCAGATCGGGCCCGTGCCGGCCAGGATGTCGTACAAAGCGATGCCACCAACGACTTTTGCGTCGGCAACTGCAAGCTCGACAGTAGTGAAGTTCCCCAGTGTCCGAAGCGACGCAGCTGATGATCCCAATATCGTCGACCATGGTGACACGCGAGCTTCGCCGAGCCTCGTACTGGTAGTACAACAGCCGCCCGGTGTCGACGTCGTGATGTTGGAATCGATGCCGGAACAGAAGCGGGTCCTCCGTCGCTGCGCCGGTGTTGTGGTGTGGGCGTAGGCCGTCATACAAGATGTCAGACTTGAGCTGCGCGGCCGAAGCGGACAGCACGGCTAGAAGCATACTCTTGAGGTCCTCAAAAATCTGCGAGTGAGGGCAAGCATCCGGCGTGAGCTGTGCGATCGTCTGGCAGGCGAAGAATTGGCGGGGCACTCTGGAGAGGAGGGCATGGCGAGCCCAGCAGTGCATTATCGTGTTAGTGCCGGGTGGGTGGTGCGCGAGGCTGGTGGGCCGGGAGCCTCCTGGGAGTAGGAAGTGCGAGCGATGGTGAGGAGCCGAAAGAGACTTGCCGAGGAAGGGCTTGGCGTGTCAAAATCATCGCAGAGAGCACTTCCTTGTCACCCGGGGACGGCCGCACATGTTTTCGCACTACCCTGCCCGAGAACGTGAGGGCGCCTGGAGCGGAGCTTGCGCGCCCGGGAGGCGGAGGCAAGAAGGAAGGAAGGAAAGAAAGAAAGAAAACACCTAACCCAAGGGAGGGATGGGAGGACGGCACGCCGCCACCACACAGGGATTTTAAAGAAGGAAGGGACGGCTTGAAGCACTTTTCCATATTTTCTTTCCTGCAGTGTCGCCGCTTTACACACACTCGAGCGACAGACCGACACACAGCATTGGACACTAGGCGCCGGTGCGGTTCGGGTAGTATGCCCATCAAGTGGAGACCAAGTGGGAGGAGCGGCGGCGGCGGCGGCGGCGGCGGTCGTGACGGTTCGCGCGCCGCACCGCCAGGGGCGAGGCACACCACCGTCCTCTGCGGGGGGGGCGCGGAAAAGAGGAACCTCTTAGCGTCATCGCCATGGTGCTGCAAGCAGCGCCGGGCAACGACGGCTTACCGCCTCCCGGTCCCCCTACCTCGGCACACCTCCGCTGCTTAATGGAGGAATGCGTTCACAGAAAACGAATCGCCGCGGGCGGCCTCGCGACGCCGGCCGACGTGGCGATGCTGATGAGCCTCGGCGTCGACGGCGTCTTCGTCGGCTCCGGCATCTTCAAGGGCGAGAACCCCGCGGCGCGCGCGCGCGCGATGGTCGCGGCGTGCACGCACTTCAAGGCGCCCGGTACGGTCGCGGCCGTCTCTGAGAACCTCGGCAAGGCGATGGTGGGCCTCCTCGAGCATGAGGACCCCGTCCTCGTCGCGCAGCAGCGCGCGGCGGTCGCGCTCGCGCAGAAGGACGACGCTCCGAAGGAGCTCGGCGGCAAGCGGCGCAAGGCGGACGACCCGCGCGACTACTACATCGCGGAGGAGGAGGAGGGGACGCCGCCCGCGCACAAGAAGCGCGCGCCGGCGGCGTACCCCGTCGGCGGCATCGACCCGGCCGTCAAGGCTTGACAGCGGGACCGACGACGATCATCCAGCCTGATGAGCGAGGACAAGGAATGATCGAGGACAAGGAATGATCGAGGACGATGATGATCGAGGACGATGATGATGACGTGCTCTCGCGATCATGGTGGATGGGGGCGGACACGGAGGGGGGATCGCGGAAGCCGGGGCGATGAGGCTCCATCGATGCGATGTGATGTGGCGGGCTCGTGGATGCAAGATTCGCGTCCATCCACATGCATCAATTCTGCAGGAAGGCAGGATCGGAGAGCGGCGCAAAGTCGGTGCGTGAAACGTAAAGAACTCGTCTTTTGACGCGGTCCGGGGGGCTGCCGGCGATGCGGACGCAGAAAGCAAGGGGGCGGCGCATGGTGCACCGCGCCGTCACAACCGGTGCCGGAGTTCCGGTACCGGTGCCGGGACCGGTACCGGTCCGGTACCGGTACCGGTGGAGGGGCGAGAGTGAGGACCGGGGGCGGAGCGCACAACGATGCTCGAAGGAACAATGTGCATCCGAGACGCGAGGTGGATAGGGTGCGAGAGCGGGGGCGGCCGCGGCGGCGTCACGCCGTCTCAGACGACAGACGCAGCTCGTGTACGGCTGGGTAAAAAAACTAATACAGCCCGGAAGCATAGTCGATTTTCCCTCACTTCCACCACCCCCACCGCACTCCGCACCCGGGCAGAGACACGCCCTGGCGCCCTGCCCATTCTGCGTTCAATTTCCCTGTGCTGGCACGCCTTGATCAGGCTCGAGCCAGGCTCTTCGGTATTCAATCCGTCGAGGCGGGCCACCCACAATGCTGCTTCAATGGGAGCACGTATCATGATACCTCGAACAGGCACATGGACATCGACATGGATGGAATGCCCGTCGTGGATCACGCATTTTACCCAAGCATTTTCGCCACGCCATTTTTGGTTCACTTGAACGCCTTGAAAAGCATGAGTGCGGCGAGTGGGATGTGGACAAAGGACTGGAAGATCCACATCTTCTTCTTGAACGCGGGCTCGCCGTCCTGGATGTTTTTGACGAGGATCGGAGTGAAGAGCGCCTCCGCGATTGCGAACGCCTTGAGAACGCCAGTGCTCTCGGGGTCGAAGTAGGCGGCGGAGCTCAGGGCAAGCATCATCGCACCAAAGGCGCGGCTGGTGAAAGCGCCGACGGGGCCTTCGGCATCGGCCGTGTACTTGATGGGTGATGCACCCGAGTCAGCAAAGGCGTTGGGGTCTGCGTAAAGTGCTGCTCCAAAGCCAACGTGGTACAGGCCGTTGATCGTGTTGAGCGTCTTGGTGTCGAGAGCCACGCCGCCTCGGAGCTTGAGGGCGTTGGATGGCGCGATGTCGTTGTGGTGGACGACCAAAGCGGGAAGGGCCAGAATGATGGCGAGCATGGTTGATTTGCGAGAGCGGGGCCAGGCTGCTGCTGCTGCCGTCGGCGTCGGTCGATCTCGTTGATTGCCCGCGCCGTTTACTTTTTGCGCGCGCGGTTGGCGAGCGCGTGGGCGGTCGCGAGGATCGCGACCAGCAAGATCGAGAAGACGCCAGCGGTCGCCATGCTCGATTCTTCGTCCTCCGGCGCCGTCGCGCGATTGTACGCGCAGCGGAACCCCACGGTCGCCGATCGCTCGTACGCGGCGCCGCCGCCGCCGGCGAACCGAAAGAACTTGGCGTGCCGATCGAGCTGCGCCGCCGTCTCGCCGGGCGTGTACCCGTCGTTGGCGTACTGCCGGATCGCGCCGAAATACCAGTTCTGGAAGTCGCTCGCCGCGACGGGCTGGTAGAAGGAGCCGCCGCGCAGCAGCGCGAAGCGCGTGTGCGCGTCGGCGAACTCGCTCTCGGTCCACTCCCACACGTTGCCCACCAGGTCCACCAGCCCCCACGAGTTTGGCGCCCGCGACGAGCGCCTCGGAGCTCGTCGGCGCTGGCGTTCGCCCGCCGTGCACGCGACGCGGGCGCAGCGTCTCGTCGTCCGCCGCCCCCCACGGGAAGCGATTGGCGGGGTCGCCCGCCTGCGCCGCGTACTGCCACTCGATGGACGTCGGCAGCCGCCCGCCCGCCCAGTGGCAGAACTCGCGCGCCTCGTCGAGCGAGACGCCCGTCACCGGGACCGTCTCGTTGCCCGGCGGGTGCCGGCCGCGCCGCCAGTCCGGCCACTCGCGCAGGAAGTGGCGCGCGTCGGCCGGCGCGTACGCCGTGTCGCGGAGGTAGCGCGCGTACCGCGCCATGCCGACGGGCGTTCGATCCATGTAGAAGGAGTTGATCGGCAGGCGCTGCTCGTGCTCGTTCGTCGCGAGCGGCTCGAAGTCGAAGCGCACGTCGATGCCGAACGCGGCGCGCCGCTCCTCCTCGAAGGGCTCGATGACGGTGCCCTCGCACTTGAAGTGGTACGAAGTCGTCGCGGGGACGAGCTTCGCGTCCGGCGGCGCGAAGGGCCACTCCTCAAGCGACGTGAGGGTCGGGCCCACCGGCATCTGGCGTGCGGCGCGCCACACGGCATCGAACGTCGAGAGCGGCGCGGCCGTCGCGCGGACGCGCTCGCGGAGGAAGGCGTCGAGCACCACGGGCTCGTCGGCCGGGATGGCGAGGACGCACCCGAAGCCCCGTGCCTCCATCGCGACACTGAGCGTGATCGCGCCCTCGCGGCGCGCCGACGGCGCGGGCGAGAGGGCGACGCCGTTGTAGAGGTCCCAGAAGAGGAAGCCGTCGTACGCCGCCGCGTCGAGCTCGAGCATGGGCGTCGTCGACGGCCACTCGCTGTTGGCGCGCTCGACGAGGGTCCACGCCGTCCGCCGCCCATCGCCACGGCGCACGCTCTGTGGGAAGCGCGACGCGAAGACCGACGCCGGCTGGAGGGTGGGCGCGTGCGGCACCCACGCCTCGCTGCTCAGGTAGCCGCTCTCGCCGAGGTACTTCATCAGCGGCTGCAGCCGCCGCAGCGCCTCGCCGTCGCGGCGCGTGATCCCGTTCCAGATGCCCCACACGTTCTCCCACGCGACGTAGCCGATCCCGTTGAACCACGCGTGCTGGAGCGCGTCGTTGCGGTCCTGGTCCCACCGGCGGCAGACGGTCGTCATCCGGCGAGGCGTCAGCCACTTGAAGAGGTCGACCGCCGGCGCCACCGACGCGCTGAGCGCGTCCGACGACCACCCGCCCGCCTCGCCCCATCCGAGGGTCGTCCAGCCGAGGGAGGCGATCGAGCCGCCGAGCTCTGGCTGCAGCGCGACGCGGTGGCCCTGCGCGACGCCCTCGTCAGAGAAGGCCTCGGGGATCGTGTACAGCGTATCGCCGTTGATGCCGTCGGCGTCCGTCGCGCGGGCGAGCGCCACGATCGAGGCGGGCTCCTCGCCCTCGTACCGACCGCGTCTCGGTGTCCCACGGCATGAACGGCCACAGGACGCGCACGCCCTCATCGTGGAGCTGCCGCACGACGTCTCGGAGGCCCGCGAGACCGCCCGGCATGCTCCGGATCATGTCATACGCATTGCGGGCCACAGTTTTCTTTTATTTTGAGGGCAAACGGCGAGCTCCAAAAGAGGCGCTTGCGTCGCGCTTCGAGCGCAGCAGCACCGCCCTGGCCTCGCACGATGTCAACTGAGCAAGTGACGGTGACCTGGTCAAACGCCAACGGCTGCGATCCTACCGACGGGCGACCCGAGATTCCAGTCCGGCTGCGCGAGGCAGGCGTGCTGCAGGCAGATTTTGACATGGTCCTGCAAGCGCTCGCGGACGCGGAGGAGTTCAAATGCAAAGTTGCCCTCCCGATCACGCTCGTGGTGTGGCCCGTCGGCCTGTGCCTCTTCTGTGTCAAGGATCCCAACGCTGGCGTGGCTCCGTTCAACGAGAAGTACGAGGCGCAGCAGATCAAGGTGCAACGTTCCATTGGCACATGGGGGTTCTTGTTTACTGTGCCAAGGGTTGACGTGGCTGTGGCTACCGCCGCGGTGGCGGCGCCCGTGGTCGCGGAGATCGCGAGGGACGACCCTCAGCCCGACCCTGTCGAAACCCTCAAGAAGCTGACCGCCATGCTCGACGAGGGGCTCATCTCTCAGGCAGAGTTTGATACGAAGAAGGCGGAGATCCTGCAGAGGATGTGAGGGCTGGCGACTGCTTAGTGAGACTATGCGCAACCCAGGGGCGGCGTGCCACGGGATCGAAGCTCAGCTGGACGACTGCCGCGGGCGTGGCAGAGACTAGCAAGCACACCAGGTTGGACCTCTGGCGCAAGGATTTTTGCCTTGGCGGCCTGCAACTCCTCCACAGCGCGCCGCTCTCCCTGAGAGTCGTACCCTCCTTCAGCTCATCGACGAGTGGCATGGCCGCGCAGTCCCGCGCGGTGTGGGAGGGGCACGCCGAGCTGCAGCGCACCCTCTGGGCGGCGTATCTGGGAGCTGGCGACGCTCGTCTTCGTGCAGCGGCCGATCGTGCTCACCGGGGGTTCGAGACGGTCGGCGAGGGGGTAGTTAGTCGCAGGGCGTATGGGGTCAGTCGTTCACCTTCCCGCCTCGCAAGGGCGGGGCTGTCCCGGGAAGCCGGGCAGCGTGCCAGCGTGACGCCGCCACCTTTACCTCCCATAAAGCCGTACGAGATATGTGTTTGAGACCCCTCCCTGAGCGGGCTATTAAATATCCTCATCTCTTTCCCACCTAGGCGGGGCGGTGGGCGTGTGCGCGGATTGTCAACGAAAGTGAAGATAAAAATAAGAAGTGGCCCCGCGAGCTGGGAATAGGACCGCCGCAAGCGGCGTGGCGTGGAGCGGTTGTGCATCCCTCCGGGGGCCCCTGCTCTGCGCCGGGGAGGCGTTGGTGGAGGCTAGGACGCAAGCGTCCGTCGCCTTTTTCAAACTCGGGTCCCACTCCGCTACGCTCCGACCCGAATTTGGAGGGCCATGAAGTTTAAGGTGTTGCTGCGCAAAAGGGGCGGGGCGCGGGCGGCGGGCGCGGGCGCCGAGAGCGGAGCGGCGAACAAAATGACGTCGGAAAGCTCTGCATCAAGTATACAGTAGGCTCTACAGCACGGAACCAGAGTTTTTTCTTTTGTTTTTTTACGCGGGCGCCTTGCGGGCAGAGCCCTTAGCCAAAATTTACGGAAAGAAGAAACCCCTGCACGCGAGATGGTGAGTGTTCGCGGGCTTGGCTGCGGCCCGCCCCGTGCACGCGAGCTTGGCAGCGGCGCAGGTTCCCTGAGCTGTTCCGACGCGGCCGTGCTAGCGGCGGAGCGAGGCGAGGAGGAGGCGGTGCTGGCGTGGCTCGACAGTGGCGGGCGGGCCGACGCGACGTACGAGAGAGGCAAGGAGAGCGGCATCACGCTGCTGATGGGCGCCGCCAGCCAAGGCCAGGAGCGGGTGGTCGAGCTGCTGCTTCGGCGAGGCGCGGAGATCAACCTGCAGAACAGTAACGGCTGGACCGCACTAATGCTCGCCGCCGAGAACGGCCACGAGCGGGTGGTCGACTTGCTGCTGCAGCGCGGCGCGGACGTCAACCTGCAGAGTAGCGACGGCCGCACCGCGCTGATGCTCGCCGCTGGCAACGGCCACGAGCGGGTGGTCGAGCTGCTGATTCGGCACGGCGCGGAGATCAACCAGCAGGACAGCAACGGCTGGACCGCCCTGATGCTCGCCGCCCAGGAAGGCCACGAGCGGGTGGTCGAGCTGCTGATTCGGCACGGCGCGGAGATCAACCTGAATGGTTGGACCGCGCTGTTGGGCGCCGCCATCCAAGGCCACGAGCGGATGGTCGAGCTGCTGCTCCAGCACGGCGCAGAGGTCAACCTGCAGAACAGCGACGGCTTCGCCGCGCTGATGAACGCCGCCTACTACGGCCACGAGCGGGTGGTCGAGCTGTTGATCCGGCGCGGCGCTGAGGTCAACCTGCAGAGCAGCGACGGCCGCGCCGCCCTGATGCTCGCCGCTGGCAACGGCCACGAGCTGGTGGTCGATCTGCTGCTGCGGCACGGTGCTGAGATCAACCTGCAGAGGAGCGACGGCGGCACCGCGCTGATGGGCGCCGCCCGGGAAGGCCACGAGCGGGTGGTCGAGCTGCTGATTCGGCACGGCGCTGAGGTCAACCTGCAGAACAGCAAAGGCTTCACCGCGCTGACGGCCGCCGCCGGCAAAGGCTACGAGCGGGTGGTCGAGCTGCTGCTGCAGCACGGCGCTGAGGTCAACCTGCAGGACAGCGGCGGCGGCACCGCCCTGATGTGCGCCGCCCGCTACGGCCACGAGCGGGTGGTCGAGCTGCTGCTGCAGCACGGCGCTGAGATCAACCTGCAGAGCAGCGACGGCAGCACCGCGCTGATGCACGCCGCCTTCTACGGCCACGAGCGGGTGGTCGAGCTGTTGATCCGGCGCGGCGCTGAGGTCAACCTGCAGAGCAGCGACGGCCGCGCCGCCCTGATGCTCGCCGCTGGCAACGGCCACGAGCTGGTGGTCGATCTGCTGCTGCGGCACGGTGCTGAGATCAACCTGCAGAGGAGCGACGGCGGCACCGCGCTGACGGCCGCCGCCGGCAAAGGCTACGAGCGGGTGGTCGAGCTGCTGCTGCAGCACGGCGCTGAGGTCAACCTGCAGGACAGCGGCGGTGGCACCGCCCTGATGTGCGCCGCCCGCTACGGCCACGAGCGGGTGGTCGAGCTGCTGCTGCAGCACGGCGCTGAGATCAACCTGCAGAGCAGCGACGGCAGCACCGCGCTGATGCACGCCGCCTTCTACGGCCACCCCGCCGTCGTGCTCCGCTTGCTTCGGGCTGGCGCAGATGCAAAGGCTTGCTCTCCAGACGGCTGGTCCGCGCTGCAGCTCGCCAAGAAGGAGGCGGCCAAGGTGTTAGCTACTGCCGACGCCGCCAGTGCTCCTGAAGCGGACCACGCCGGGTGTGTGCGCGCTCTCACAGAGCACGCAGCGGCGCTGAGGGAGGCGGAGGCGGCCGAGAAGGCGGCCGAGAAGGCGCTCGAGGTCAAGGGGCGGCGCGAGCAGCGCGAGCGGGAGGAAGCGGCGGCGGCGCGAGAGCGCGAGCAGGCGGCACGACAGCGCGAGGCAGAGCGAGCGGCGGACGAGGCGCGCCGGGCGGCGGGTGCGGCGGCGCTGGAGGAGCAGAGGCGAGCCATTGCGGCGGAGGCGGAGGCGAAGCTGGCCGCTGAGCGCGCGGCAGCAGAGGAGACGCTGCGGGCGAGGGAGGCGGAGAGGCTTGCGGCGGAGGAGGCGCAGCGAGAGGAGCAGCGGGCGGCCGCGGCGGCGCGCAAGGCCGCTCAGGCAGAGGCGGCGCGGCGCGACAAGGAGGCTGCGGACAGGAGGGCGGAGGAGGAGAAGGCGAGGCGGCGCGCAAAGGCGGCGGAGGCATCGGCTGCCAAGAAGGAGGCCAAGGCGAAGAACAATAAGGCCAAGAAGGCGCCGTCTGCTTTCGCGCTCGAGGAGGAGCGGAGGGCGAAGGCTGCGGCAGAGGTTCGCGCACAGGAGGAGAGGGCGGCGCAGCTGGCTGCTGCGCAGGAGGCGGCGAGGCGGGCGGAGCGCGAGGCGGCAGAGCTAGCGGGTGCGGCAGAGCGGGCGGCGCTGCGCGAGGATGCGGAGCTGGCAGAGGCGCTGCGCCGGTCAGAGGTGGATGCGGAGGAGGCGCTGGCGCGTCGGGTGTCGAGGTGTGAGGCGGCGGTGAGCAGCGAGTCGACCGGCGGAGGCGGGGACTTGCCGCTGCGTGTCGAGCGGCTGGAGGCGAGCCTCGGCGCGGCGACCGAGGGTAGCCTCGAGGAGCGGGTCGGCGCCATCGAGCGCTTGATCGGGTCAGAGGCGGGAGAGGCGGCGGAGCAGCATCTGCCAGTCACCGAGCCGCTTGCTGCCGTCTCACTAGCCGACGCCGGCCTCGACACGGGGCGGCCGGCTGCCCCCGAGTCCACGATGGGGGGCGAGACATCGTGCATCATATGCTTCGAGCGGCCGAAGTCTCACCTCGCGGTGCCGTGCAGCCACTTGTGCGTTTGCGGTCCATGCTCCGAGCTGATGCGAGAGTGTCCGTATTGCCGCGAGCCAGTGATGATGTGGCTCGCCCCGCGCCCTGTCTGATCACCTCTCTGAGCGCTTGAGCGATATTTTCTTCCTTAAACTAGCACGCGCCAGTTCGCACCTGTGTCGAGCCTGTCTGCCGGAGAGTTTTTGTTTAAAAAAATAAAGAAAACGGACAACCCAAGGGAGGGGTTGTTTAAAAGAAAGAAAGAAAGAAAACAGACAACCCAAGGGAGGGATGGGAGGACGGCACGCCGCCCCCACACAGGGATTCTTTCCTGCGCTGATGTAGAAATTCTTTCCAAAAACGCGGGAGCTCTCGGGGCCGCGATAGCGTCGAGGCCGCCTCGAACATGCCCGGCCGGCCATGGATCGGGGGCGGCAAGGCATCGGCGCGCTTGTCGGACGACGTGCTCTCAGCCACGCGCGGCTTTCCGCCCGAAGAACGCGGCCTTACCTTCTGGATGCTCGACGAGCCGCACCTCGGCACACTCTGCGTGGAGGGCGTGGAGCATGAGAAGGAGCTCATCGGCAAGATGACCGATGTCGAGCTCGACGCGTGGCTCCACGACCGCTCGCTCGAGCCGCCGCGCGAGGGACTGTCGCGGTCAGAGCGGCTGCTCCTTGCCTACCGTGTGCGCAAGCTTCCATGCGCCTTCGAGAAGTATGGCAGCAAGGGCGAGGCGCTCGAGGCGGCGCACGAGGCGTTCGTGGCTTCGGCGGCGCTGCCGGCTCCGGAGGAGGACGCACTCACCGACGAGGTCGCCGCGGCGTGTGGCCGGGACGAGCGCGCGGCGCTGATGCTGCGGCAGCTCGACCGCTTCCTCGCGCGCGGCGCGCCGGTCTGGCTCACGGGGCTGTCCAAGAGCGAGCTCAACGGACGCTGGGGTGTCATCGGTGGCCGGCAAACGGCGGAGGAGTTTGGGCCCGACACCCGGTACCCCGTGAGCCTCGGCGACGCGAGTGGCGAGCGCATCGCCGTGCGCCCTCACAACCTGCGGCCGGGCCGCCCGCCTGCCGTGCTCGCCGCGCCAGCCGCGGCACCAGCGCCAGCCGCGGCGGATGCGGGCAGCGTGCAGGACGGGCTCGGGCCGGACGAGGCGGGCCTGATGGAGAAGGCACTCGCCGCCACCGTCGAGGGAGTTGACGCCGAGATGGCGAAGGAGCTCGAGGACGACGGCCAGTGGAAGCAGTGGCACGAGTGGCTGTCGCGCCGGGTGTGCCACTATTCTCTCGAGGAACGCGGCGCCGAGGGCGGCGGCGGGGGCGGGCTTTGCGCACGCTGCCGCGTGGTGTGGTACGCGAGCGCACAGGCGCAGCGCGCGCACTGGCCAGTGTTCAAGCGTGTGTGCCGCGCGCCGGATCTGGCAAAGGTCGGTCGGATGGATGCCGCCGCGTGCGTGGCGGCCCTCGCTCGCTCGCTCGGGCAGGCGGCGCCGGACGCTGACGTGGCTGCGGTGCTGTATCGACTTGGCCACCTGCTGAAGACGAACCAGGCCGAAGACTCGGGTGACATCGGCTACCAGATGCACGGCCTGGCTCGCGGCGTGGCGGCGCGGTACGCGAGCGAGTCGTGGGAGCTGCTGTGGGCGGTGCCCGGCATGCCGCAGGTGATGCTCAATGAGCCGCTCCTCAAGCGTAGCTTGGTGCGTCGTGGGCGCGTCGAGGCGGCCATGGGCCGCGAGGCGACGGTCGACGAGGAGTTTGAGTACGATCTCGACCCGTGGGGCGACTGCGGCGCGTACGAGTACTGCTTCCTGCATTACAACCTGCTGCTCGGCGCTGGCTTCGAGTCGCGGCAGCCGGGCATGTGCTCCGCGCACGACGGTGTCGGCGCGGAGCCGCGCGACTCGTGCATCGGTCGTGCGGCGTGCGCGCGTGCGGTGCAGCTGTGGCTCGACCCACTCGTCCGGCAGTCGTGTGGCGACGCTCTTGGGCCGGCAGCGTCGTTTGCGTGCGCTTGGTTCACGCGGCAGGGAGACGACGCGCGCGCGACCGCGCTCCTGTCCGGAATCGGCGAGGCGTGCCTCGAGGAGATGGAGTCCTCCGGCTCGGGCGCGGCACGGCACGCGCGCGCACTGCTCAAGAGTCTCGACAAGAGGCTGTGGCAAGCGCTAGCGGCTGCCATGTACCAAAACCAGCCCGACGCGCCCCCGAAGCTGACGATGGCGGCGGCAGCGGCGATCTCGCTCGCGATGGCCGCGCTCCGCTACCTCCACGAGCACGGCGACGGCGGCCGCGGCGGCAATCTCAGCGACAAATGGGAAGTGGGCGATCAGCAGATGCTGGAGCGGATCGTGGGCGGCTGCCTGCAGGTCGGAGTGGCGCGGATAGGTCCTTTCACAGCTGAGCAAAAGTGGCGCCGCACCGTCGGGCTGCGTACGGCACTGCTGCGGCTCGGCGCGGGCCGCCGTGACGAGGGCGGCAGAGGCGGCGGCGCCCGCGCTGCAGGCGGTGAGGAGGAGGAGGAGGGCGACAAGAGTGACGGTAGCGACGACGACGACGGCAGCGACGACGACGACGGCGAGGCCGAGAGCTGGCAGCAGGTGTGCGCACGTGATGAGGTTCGCTTCGGCGGGCGCTCCTCTTCGCGCGCGCTTCTTTCGTCCACTGGAGCGAAGCGCGTGCTCGGCGTGCGTCGCATCGACGAGCGTGCGCTGTGTTCGTGGGCGCTCGAGCAACCGGCGGTGCTCGAGACGCGCGACGCCGGCGCGCTGTGCGCCAAGCTTCGCGAGTTCATGGCACTGAACGTCTTCTCGAGCAAGTTGGTGCAGGCACACTACCGCAAGTGCATGAGCGACGACGAGTGGCAGCGGGAGTGGGCGGGATCCATCGCGAGGTTTGATGCGCGGTCGTAAACCCGCCGCCAGCTACCGACGCAGCCGCCCTCGCCCGCGCCGCCGCTGCGCGCATCGTGGCGTCGTCGTCGTCTGCGCGTTGTGCGCGTCGCTCTGCTGCCGCTGCCTCGTGCGAGGAGGGCAGTGGTCGCGCTGGCTACAGGACCACGGCGCGCCTCCGCGCCAACGAGCTCCCGCGCGTGCCCGCCGCCGCGCCGCGCCGGCTGCCGCCGCACCCAGGTAGCAGCTAAAGCTTTCGGTGCATGTAACTGCATGTCGCGGCAGTGTGGCGGCTGCCCCCGGTGCGCGCGTGCGGAGCCCCAGTCAGTTCGTGGTGGTCCAAAGTCACTCATCAAGGTACTGGGCCCGAGTAAGCTTGCAAAAGAATCGTCGAGATGCTAAAAACGAAAAAACTAAGGTCTAAGCTCTAAAAGAGGTTCACGCAGGACGCATAGCCCCGCGCGCGCGCGCGGCGCGTTACCATGAAAGGGCTATAATCATTTAATTTAATATAATCGACCGCGTGGCGCCGATGGCACAAGTAGTCCATCGCGATCGCGCGACGTGCGCCCGGGTGTCATCCTCATCGGCGGCGGGCGGGCTGCGGCGGCCGGCGGGGGCAAGCTCGGGCCAAGGCCAGTCCAGGTGGGGAAAGGGGGGTTGAGGATTACCTCGAATGCCGCGGCGAGAACTCGTCACCTGAGGGGCGCCGCACCCGGCGTTCCCGACATACGACAGGTCATGGCCCTTTCCTCACTCGTCGTCTTCCTCCGAGTCGGGCGCCGCGCACGCGCGTCTCTTGCGCGTGTGGTGGTCGACCGCCTGCGGGACGAGTCCGGGACGCGTCACGGGCATGTCGTGGACGTGTCTTGGCGCGTGGGGTGGTTGAGAGGCCGCCTCCCACCCGTCGCCGCCGGCGCTCTGCCTTCGGACGAGCCGCGTGAGGCAGCGCGTGCCTGCACAGAGAGGAGTGAGCTGGTGGAGAGGGCTGAGGTGGGAGGGACTGACGCGCGAGGCTGCAGTGCGCGCCGCCGGCGTCGACGCGCGGCCCCTCGGGCTGCAGCGCCAAGTCGCGGACCAGCCAGTGCTCGTCGCGGTGCGCGAGCACCTTGCCGCCCGCGTCGAGGCCGACCTGGTACGGGACACAGCCCGCCGCGCCGCCCCACTCCCGGCCCGGCACCAGCGCCGCCGCGTCCTCTGCGACGCTGTGGTCGACGGCGAGCACGGTGCCCGCCGCCCAAGCGGAGTAGTCGTTGCTCTCATCCTCGACGGCGCACGCGACGCGGTCGCCGACGCTGAAGCGGCGCGCCTGGGTCGCACAGCCGGCGGGTCGGTGAGTTCGTTTGAGAGGCGGCGCAGCGAGGGCCAGTCATGTGAGGCGAGAGGCGGCAGCGAGGGCGGACGTCGCGTATGTGCATTGGCGACGTGCTAGCTTGCGGCGTCTACGCGAGGCGTGCCGCCGACTTCTTGGCGGGCTGCTGCGGCAGGCAGAAGAGCGTGAACCAGAGCGCGCCCGCCCTCTGCCCGAAGCAAACCTCCGAGCGGCAGACGTCGTACACGTCCTTTGGGACCGAGATGAGGCGGCCGTTGGGCGGGTCCATCTTGACCACGTACGGCAGCTTAGCCTGGCCCGTGACGTCATCAGGGTCGTCCTCGAGCACAGACATCACCGTGCCGGGCGCCCACCTCCGCTCGCCGCCCACGTTGCAGACGACGCGATCGAACATGGCGTAGCGCAGCTTGGGCGGCGGCGCTGGTGGGTCGAGAGCATCCAGCGCAGCAGCCACGAGCTTCCTCGTCTTTCTGGCTATGTACGCCATATCCTCGTCGTCGAGCGCGTCGCGGTTCTCTTCTGTGATGGTGGAAAAGACCTTGTCCGCGACGTCATAGAGCACATCCTCATAGTCGCGCCCGGGAAGCCGCTGGTTCGGATCGTGGTCCGCTATGGCCTCGGCAACCGCATCCTCGACGCGGCGTCGCAGGCTCTTGCCTGCCATGAGTGCGCGATGTCTGGCGCCGCCGCTCGGCGGTACGGAGCCCACGGCAAAAAAGAAGAAAAGCACGGCGGGTTTCCCTTCCCGTGCCGCCTAGTTCCGCGGACGGCCCCTCCACCCTTCATGTACGGATCATCATGTAGTCCCCACAGACGCTGTCGTGGGATCGCTTGCTCTCATGCGCCTGACGATCCCGCCGCAGCGCCGTGCCCAAAGTCGCCCTCAAACTCCTCGCCCGCGCTTGCGCGCCGCGCCGTCCGGGCCGTACGAGCCGAGCCCGATCTGGGCCCGCTCTAGCCAGCCGTAGAGGAGGGGGCGGCAGCGCTTGTAGGCCAGAGCCCCGTCCACCGCCTCGTACCAGCGCATCTTTGCGGGCGGGAGGCGGAGGACGGTGGTGGCGGTGGTTGGCACGGTGACGCGGGTGAGGGAGGGGCAGCTTGCGAAGGCTGCGAAGCCGATGGTGGTCAGACCGGCAGGAAAGGAAATGGAGGTGAGGGAGGAGCAGGCGGAGAAGGCGCGTCTGCCGATGGAGGTGAGGGTGGGAGGGAGGGTGACGGAGACGAGCGACGAGCAGTTGTAGAAGGCGAAGTGAGGCCCTCCGGCACAGTGGCGTGCCCTTGCGCGTCGATTGGAGGTTGCACCGCCCAAAAGTTGATGTACGTTGATGGCCCGCACTGCTGCCTTCGCTTCGTCGTCGAGGGGCTTAGGGGACCCCTTAGGCTTAAAAGGGTGGGCCCTGGGGCGCCTGCGGCTTAAACGGCTTAAAACCGGCCCGGGCCGGTTTTAAGAGCTGCTGGGCCGCCGATTCCTTAAACGGTCTTAAACGCTTAAAACGGTGCGGGAGAGCTCCCGAGGTCGATGGTCCGGGAGGCTCCCGGAGGCTCCCGGAAGACGCCGGAGGCCGGGAAGCTGGCTACAGTCAGCTAGCACGCGTCCCCTATGCGAGTATGGCTCCTGTCAGTGCACCAGACTTACAGATGTGTCTTCAGAGGCGGGTTTGTGCCTAATAACGGCAGTATTGGACAATTGGAGAAAACGGCGCGGAAAACCCAGCGAGAGCCGAGAGCGAGACGCATGCCGGTGAGGCCGATTTTCTTAAACGGTCTTAAAAGAGGGACCCCCCGTGCCTGCAATCTCTTAAATGGCAATTTAAGCCCCCAAACCTCCTCATTTCTTAAAAGCTCTTAAAAAATCCGGCCCTCAGAACCCTAGGGGTCCCCTAAGTCGAGGGGGCAGCCGAAGAAGGCACAATCGCCAATCGTCGAGAGGCCATCGGGCAGCAGCAGCGTGGTCGAGGTGAGGCCAGCGGGAAATGAGGGGGAGCAGCGGAAGAAGGCGCCCACGCCGTGGAGGTGAGGCCGGCGGGGAAGGTGACGGAGCGAAGGGCGGAGCAGCTGTAGAAGGCGTACTCGCCAATGGAGGTGAGGCTGCGCGGGAAGGCGACTGAGACGACAGAGATACGGTCCTGGAACGCGTGGTCCGGCAGGTGCTCATGCCTTCGGGCAGCACTGCGTTCCCGTCGGTGACGACGACCTGCCAGCCGCCCACCTCCAACCGCTGAACAAACGCTGTCGTGGGATCGCTTGTCATGTGAGAGAGTACGTTGGTGTCACCGGCGCGGCAATGACCGTAACGGAAATTCTTTCGCGCGCTTCGTGTCAATTTTGCCCCGCCAGCTTGGGAGCTTGGGCCAGCTGAGGCCTGAGACCTTCCAGTTGTCGCACTCATGCAGACTCCTGCGATTGCTCGAACCTCGCCCGTCCTCGCGTCGGCACTCGCGCTGAGTCTCCTCACAGCGCTAGTTTCCTGCGGGTTACTTCTGCCTGGAACTGTGGCACCTGCGGCGACGACAGCGGCGACAGCAACAGCGAACTCAGTGCAGTCGAGAGGCTTTCACTTCTCGCCGCAGGCTGATGCGGCAGGCTCAGTGCAGCCGAGAGGCTTTCACTTCTCGCCGCAGGCTGATGCGGCAGGCTCAGTGCAGCCGAGAGGCTTTCACTTCTCGCCGCAGGCTGATGTGGCCCGAGCCTGGCGGCCTTGGACGAGCCTGGCACGCTCATTTCAAACCGAGCTTCCAGCTCCACCTCCGCCGCAGCCGCCGCAGCCACCGGCGTCTCCACCGCAGCCGCCAGAGCCGCCAGAGCCGCCGCCGCCACCACCACCACCTCCTCCTCCTCCGCCGCCGCCGCCGTGGCCACCAACGCCGAAGCCTCCGCCAGCAGTCCCGCGCGATGCGCCTCAGCGGCCGCCTCCGCCGCCCGACCCACCGTCGCCGCCGCCGATCAAGGTGGATTGCGTCGCCATGCCCGAGGTGTACGCCAGAATTGCCACCGAGCAAATCAGAGCGTACATGGCCGGCCAGGGGTTGCCGACGCCGCCCAACCCCGGCGTCGAGGTCAACCGGCTGGGCCTGATGGAGCTGCACCGGTACAACATGTCGCTCACCTCCCTCGAGCTGGGAGAGATCACGCTCACAGGGTGCAGCTACGCGGGCAGGGGGAGATCGCGCCTCGAGGCGTGGACAGGGGTGATCCCGGACCGGCCGCTCGTCGCGGACGGAGTGAGCATCAAGGAGCGCTACCTGCCCGACAGCATCCGCCTCGAGGTCAGAGGCATCCGCTGGACGTCGACGATGCGCTACCATGTGCAGGAGCTTGGCCTCCCGCTCGGGGGCGGCGAGGCGACCTTCTCTGGCAAGGGCCGCATGTGGTGTGCGATCGCATGTAGTGTTTTGAGTTGCTATCGTGGAGTGGTGTCCGGTGCATAGCCCGCCCGCCCTCACTCTCGGCCTAACACGCGCACTACAGGTTCGACGACATCTCGCTGCGGCCTCAAGACATCGCGGCTGGCCGCGGAGGCGCGGGCGGGCCGATCGGCTGCGGCGGCACGCTCCGGCTCACGAGCCTGCACTTCACCGGCTACTGGCAGGGCATGGAGGGGATGTACCTCGGCGACGGCATCCAGCGCCCCGACGCGTCCCACATTTCACGTCCGTGACATGTCCGAGACATGTCCGAGATAGGCGACGGCATCCAGCGCCCCGACACGGTCGGCTTCGCGTGCGACGGCTTCGAGTCCGCCGTGGCCAACCCTTTCGCGTCCGGCTGGCAGTGGGTCGGGCCGGGCGTGAGGCCGCCGGGGCTGCGCGACAAGGCGCGCCGCCACAAAGCCGCCCTGCGCGCGCGCACGGCCCCGACTCACACCGCCCACGCCCCCGACTGCGCCCGCGCCGTCCTCTGCCGCCGCAGGTGGTGAGCTACATGCGAGACGTGTGCGGGGCGTTCACGAGCCTCGAGCAGGTGTGGGACCGGTGCATGTTCCTCAAGGCGTGGGCGCCGGCGGCCATGGCCACGGTCAAGGGGAAGTGGTCGAGGACGAAGGCGAAGCTTCACACGGTGATGTCGCGTCGCGCTGATTGAAAGTGGGGGCACATTATCTCGAGTTTATCACACAATTCACATGCTTTTCGACGTGTGGAGATTTTGTGTGAGACTGAGACTTGCAGAGAACCCAAACTCAACAACATCTTCTAACCAAAGACCAAACAGCAAACTCCTCTCGAAACAAACAAACTCCTCTATCCTCTCGCTCGGCGCGCAGGCGGCCGAGCTCGTACAGCAAACGCGGTATGTGAAAAAGAATTCACAGGTCCTTTTTGGGCCGTGCGTGTGCACCGTGCTGCGTCGAGAGACCAGACTGGCCAGAGTCCCCAGCCGTGGGCACAACATTCCGTTGTGTTCTCAGCTCAAATAATTGTATTCACACCTAGCGTGTAGTATTATACCAAATACTGAACAGGGCGCAAGCCATAGGCGCGCATACTCTGTGGGTGGGATACAGGACATGGGCGGCCTGTGTAAGGCGCGATCGTACACACATAGGGTGCGCTCGCTCGCCGGGGCGCGAGCTTGCGGGGCGCCTGCACTACAGGGCCTGGCTGGCCCCAGCACTGCAAACACGCGCCTCTAGGGCCCTACTCTCTACTCTCTACCGTGGCGCGACGCGCGTGCACCGGTGCAGCCCGTGCGCGTAAGTCGCGCGGGGATAATGGCCCGGCCCGAAGTATACATCATCTCTCGTGCTCGCTGGTCTCAGTTCAGATGGCCTCCGTGGCGGGCTCGGAGCTCGCGGTGCGGGTCTTCTTGCCGAAAATGTCGTCGTCGCTCACGTCCTCTTTCTCGTGTGGGAGGATCGCGTTCAGGATCACGGCGATGATGACGCCGATGCCGTAAGGGGTCTTGAGCAACATCATGACGGCGGTGCGGAGGCCCTTGCGGCCGGCCTTGTACTCCGCGCAGCAGTTACCGTTGTTGTTGATGCACGTGGTCACCTCGACCGGCTCGCCGAGCACCGGTGCCGAGTAGTTGCCGCCCGCGACGAGGCAGTCCGCTTCGGACAGTTCGACGGCGCCGCCCGCAAAGCCGCACGTGGCGGGCACCAGGACGGTTGTCACGGTGGGGAAGCGGGCGCAGACGTCCGCCTCGGGCCACAGGCCAAAGTTGTGCCGCAGGTTCTTCGCGTAGAAGGCGCCCGACGCCTCGAAGAGCTGCGGCTCCATGGCGACCCCGAGCCCAAAGGCGATCGAGAGCATAACGATGTACGAGTTGCGCCGGTTGAGGGTCGGCGCGACGATGGACATACCCGCGACGAAAACCATCGTGAAGCATTGCAGGACCACGCCGCCGACGACCGCGATGGGGATGGTGGTGAAGGCGGCGCCGATCCTGGGGGGGGGGGGGGGGGATGGGTCGGGGCGGCGCGCGGGGCGGGATGCGCCCGCGGAGCGGGATATGCGCACTTCCCAAAGATGCCGAGGAGGATGAGCCAGATCGCGCACGCGAAGCCGGCGGAGCGGGAGGCGCACTGTGAGAGCTTAATTATGCCGTTGTTTTGCGAGAAAGTCGTGTTTGGCGCCGTGCCGAAGCAGCAGGCTAGGAACGAGTTCACGCCGTCGGCTAGCAGGCCGCCTTGGATGCGCTCGTTGACGTCCTCCGGGTCGGTGATGCCAGAGTAAAGGGCTGTCATGGTGACGTCGCCCACTGTCTCGGCGGTCGTGATGTAGGTCGCGAGGAGGATGGGAAGCAGGTACACGATGTCAAAGGAGATCGGGAACTGGTCCTCGGACCAAAAGAAGACAAACGCCGGCGCGGCGTCAACCTTCTCCTTCGCGCTGTCGCCGAAGTAGTCGTACTGGATGCCTTCGTCGTCGGTGTACGAGGAGATCGCGGCGACGATGGTGCCGAAGACGAGGCCCCAGAAGAGGAACGTCGACTTGAGGAAGGGCGAGCCGGCGACATTCAGCACGACCCCAAAGAGGATGACCGAGGCCGCGAGCCCGATGTGCTGCGGCGCGCCAAAGGCAAGCGTCACGTCGCCGTTCTCGTTGCAAATCTGGGGGCCCGAGCCAAAGGCTGCGGCCCTCGTCGCCATGTTCTCGCCGCAGAAAACTCCGCCGCCAACGTACTTGATGCCCGACGAGACGAGGCCGGCGCCGATCATCATGACTGCCACGCCGAGCACAACCGGAGGAAACATCTTCGCGCGGATCCTGCGGGTGCGTGGGAGTGCGTGTGGGAGTGCGTGGGAGTGCGCTGCTGGGGCAGCCCTGGGCTCGGACCTTGAAGGGATGAAGGAGATGGCGATCTCGAGGAAGCAGGCGACCATGCAGGTCCCGAGGAAGGCGCCATAACCCTCCATGCCGACTCGCGGGCAGTCGATGACGCCAGAGTCGAGGGTCACGCAGCGCGGGTCGCCAGTGTTCTTTGCGTCTTGGATGTACGCCGTCGTCATCTCGCGTGCGATCGGGAGAAAGGTGAAGGAGGTGCCCATCACAGAGATAAGTCCTGTGCCGAGGTAGAAGGGCGTGCCCCGGATCTTGCAGCGGAAGACTTGGATCAGGGTGAGAATGCCAGACGCCAGCCATGACGTGGAGACCATGAAGGGCTGGAGCGCACACCTGTCGTACACAGAAGAGGCGTGGGGATAGAGGTGGAGAGAGGCAAAGGAGGCCGACTGGAAGCAGCGCGCATGGTTGAGTCGGACTGGAATGCCATGCAGGTGTCGCCGGCGATGAGGAGTCCTCCGGACGTGGCTATGCCCGCAAGCATCGCGAGGCAGTGCTGCAGGCCGAGGACGACGGAGAGGAGGAGAGGCAGCTTCTCGTCCTTACCGAGCCACATGGGAGCATTTGCGCCCTTCCCCAGGCACGACACCGTCGGGGTGCACAGGTACTTGTCTGCGGGGGCGGGCAGGGCGGGTGAGAAGCGTCAGTGTTCGCTGTTTACTACACGCGCTGTGGGAGGCGGCGCCGACTTACAGGAGTACTTTCCGAAGAAGCCTTCCCTCGTCCAGCACTTGACTCGGCAAACTTCGCAGTTCGCCGCGGCTTCAGTGTCCTTATCAGACATCTTGTTGAGTATAGTTTGGTCACCTGGCCAGAGATGAGCTCGCGCGTCGGTTGCGTATGGGGGGGAAGCAGAGACTAGGTGGCAGGCATGAGGCACGTGCCGCAAAACTCGATCGGCAGGATGCTGACGGCGTGGCAACCAATGAGGGGGATGGCTTCTCTTCTTCGTTCCCCCCTTTTACACTGCTTTTAGCAAACGGCCGGGTTAGACCTCCGCCCGTCTCCCTTAGTAAGGGGCCGGGTGTCCGCCCTAGGCCGCGGGCGGGCGGCGTTTTGAAAAACAGAAAACAGGAACACAAGAGGGGTCCCTCCCGGGGACCAGGCTCCAGTAATGGCCAATGGGCTCCAGGACTGGGAGTAGAAAATACGCACAAGGGGGCCAAGGAGGCGCGGAAAGAGCAGCCTCGGGTGAGAGCAGGAAGGCGAGGATGCTTGGATGGCGCTTAGGGTCGGCTTTGAACAAGGGTGATCTCAAGTATTCGGGTGTCCCCGCACGAGGTTCGAGGTCAAAGGCGCGCAGTGTGCCGCTCTCGCAGGCTAAATAAATAAACAAAGAATCATAGAAAATCCAAAACCTAAATCGCAAACATAGAAACAAACACAGGCGGCGACGTGGCATACGAGCCCGCTCCCGGCCGACGGGCGACGGCGGCGAGCCGGCGCGCCAGCTCGTGCTCCTCATCACGCACCGCGCCGACGTGGCGACCACGCTCACGCAGGTCAACGGGCTGCAGGGCGGGCTCTACGAGTACGAGTGCGTCTTCCTCGAGGAGGTGACCCTCGCCGAGATCGCCGACATGTGTTCATCGGCCAGCGCACGGCGGATAGGCTGGGGTTTCCGTCCCAGCGAGCCAGCGTACGTCGTCGAGGTCCCAACCTCCCCCGGGTTGGCTACTCGAGGTCGCGGTCCCACCCCCCAGGCAGCTCCCGCGCCCTCGCCACGGTGTCGGCTATGGTCAAGTTGGTCAGGCCAAGGCTGCACATCCCCGGCCGGGGCGGGGGCGGCGGCGGCGGCGGGACTGGCGGCCGTCGCGGCAAGGAGATTGGCGACGGTGAGCGCTGCCCCCCCCTGCTCGCCCCCCCCCGCGGCGGCAGCGGTGGCGATGGGCACGTCCACTCCCTCCCGCACCGCAAGCCACCACCGTCCCCTAGACCTCTTCTTCACCTTACGCCGTAGCCACGCCTCTTCCGACCGATGGTGCCGCCGCCGCCTCATCGCCTCCACCTCCGCCCACTGGGGAAACCTTCCTCCGGTCCGCCGCAACGCTACCGCCCTCCCTAGGTCGGCCACGAGGGCGGTCATCTGCTTTGCGGCAGCGCGCGGGCGGCCATCGAGAATCGCCGCAGTGCCCTCCATGATGCCGGCCGCAGCCACCCGATGCATCTCGAGCGCTCGCACCCTGTCTTCTCCCTCGAGGCCTCCGGCCGAGACGACTTCGTGTTGCAGCTGCGCGAGGCGCAGGGTATGGTACTCCATCTCGACCGCCACCAATTTGACCCGATCCTCCGTGTCCGCACTTCTGCAGTCAGCGGCTGGCGCCTCCTCCGCCATAGCCCGTTTCCTGCCCCCCCCCGGGATGCAGACGTAAAGCTCGGGGCCACCGACCGAGAGCTGGTCGCCGTCTCGGAGCTGCCGCTGGTGGCCGGGGGTGACCTTCCCCCAGTTGCCGCTACCCAACTTGAGGTAAGAGACGTCATCTCCTTCCCGTACGTGGAGGTCGTAGGTGCCCGCCGCATTGGAGGAGACAAAGCTCGCCACGCCGAGGCCGGTTCGGTTGTCTCCCCCCTTGCTCGGCGGAGGACCGGGGGGCTTGAGCACGATTACCTCCGTGCGTCCCCCCCTCCAGCCGTGCGCCGGCCCCCGTCGGCTCCAACGGCACGGGGGCCCCCGCATCGCCAGCTGCCATCATCGTCCCGTCTTCGTTGTGCCGTTGGCTGCTGATGGTGTCAGGCGGTCCTGTCACTGTGGCTAGGCGACTGGGCGTGGACCCTGGGGAGGGGCGGCCCTGGCATGGTCGGGGAGGGTGGCGGGGTGTCGGCGGGCACGACATGTCCCCCGCACCCCTTGCACACCCTGCCCTGTTGCCCGCACGTTAGGCAGCTAGGGTCGTACGGCAAGCAGCTCTCGTCGGCGGAGCCATCTCCAAGGTCTTGGGTCCCGCCACCGAAGCTAGGCGACTGGGTGCGGGGCCGCACGCTCCGCATCAGTAGGTCGTCGTCCTCGGAGCCCCCGGGCGTCCCTCCTGGCCGGCTCGAGGTCCGCTCTCAACGGCGGGCGCCAGCCTCCCGAGTAGGGCTGCCGCATGCTCCGCATCTCGTCGTCTCCCCTGCCGCCGGCGCCTTCCCCGCCGTCACCCCTTCCGCCGGTGGCCTCGCCGCTGCCGCCGAAAGCAGCAACCTGGTCGCTGCTACCAGCGTCACCGGGGCGATAAAATTTTCTTTTCGCACGCAGCAGAGGCCGGCGCGCGTCTCGCCCGGCGCCCGCGCGCGCGCGCCGCGATGCCCAAGCAGGACAGCGCGAGCAGCAGCGGCAGTAGCTACTCCTACTCGTCCAGCGAGGACGAGGCCGCGCCGCCCGCTCAGGCCGACGGCGCCAAGGCCAAGCGCGCAAAGGAGCCGCGCGCGACGTCCAACAGCGGCGACGGCGACGACCTGGCCGACAAGATCGCGGCCGAGGAGGAGCCCGACGTGCCACGCGAGGCGCGCGCGCGGCGCGACGGCGCCGCCCGCGGTGAGAAGCGGTCGCGGTCGCGCGACCGCTCCCGCGACCGCCGCCGGCGCGACCGCTCGTTTAGCAGAGAGCGCGAGCGGCGTGGGCGCGACCGCTCGCCGAGCAGAGATCGCGACCGGCGGCGAGGCGACCGGCGGCGCGGCTACTCGGAGGAGCGCGAGGACAGCCGCGGCGGTCGCAGGGACGGCCGCAGCTACGGGAGCGCGGCTGACAAGATTGCGGCGCGGCGCGGCGGGGGCGGGGGCGGGGGCGGCGGGGGCGGTGGCGGCGGGCGGGAGGAGGGGGGGGAAAAGGGGCCGGCGGAGGCGCGGCCACGCAAGGTGATCGAGGACCCGTACGAGACGGCGGCGAAGACGGCGAGCGGCGTCGTGGCTAGCGGCGCGGGCAAGACGGGCGGGCTCTACATGCCTCCGTACAAGCTGGCGCAAATGATTTCTGGCGGGGATGACAAGGCGTCGTGCGCAGCCTTCCCTCCCTCTTTCCCCGCCCTCCTCCCCTCCTTCAAACCCCCCCCCCCCCCCCGTCCGTCCGTCCGTCCCACGCCTCGCCCTCGCCCTCACAAGGCGTCGGCGCAGTACCAGCGGATGACGTGGGAGGCGCTGAAGAAGGCCATCAACGGGCTCGTCAACAAGGCGAGGGGGGCGGGGCGGCCCGCGCCTCTCCTCCTCTCCCCACTCCCCCTCGCCGCTCTCTCGTCCTCCTCCCCTCCCCCTCGCCCTCGCCCCCCTCTCCTCCCCTCCTCCCCTCCCCTCCTCCCCTCCCCTCTCCTCCCTCCCCTCCCCCTTCCCTCCACCTTTCCCCTCCGCTATCCTCCCTCCCCTCCACCTTTCCCCTCCCCTTTCCCCCCCCCCCCCCCCCTCCCTCCTCCCGCCTCCCCTCCCCTCCTCGCTGCTCTCGCCCCGCCTCTCCCGCCTCTCCCGCCTCTCCAGCACCACGTCCACCGCCTGGAGCCCTCGCCCCCACCCACCCACCGCTCTTCCAGGTCAACGTCTCCAACATCAAGGCTATCGTCGTCGACCTCCTCAAGCAGAACGTCATCCGCGGCCGCGCGCTGCTCGTCCGCTCCCTGATGAAGGTGCGCACAGTGGTCTGGACGGACCCACTCCACACCGCTCCTCATGCCCCGCCCGCTTGTTCCCTTGTGCGCAGGCGCAGGGCGCGTCGCCAAACTTCTCTCGCATCTACGCCGCCCTCCTCGCCGTCATCAACACGAAGATGCCCGAGATCGGCGAGATCTCTAGCCGAGAGAGGGCCGAGAGGCGCCGCAACGAGCCGCACACCTCATCGCCACCGCCTCACCGGCGCCCCGCCCCTGCCCCCCGCTCCAGGCGAGCTGCTGGTCAAGCGAGCTGTCAACCAGTTCAACCGCGCCTACCGCCGGCACGACAAGGTCGTCTGCAACGGCGTCGTCAAGTTCATCGCCGCCCTCGTCAACCAGCAGCTGGTGCACGAGCTGCTCGCACTGCAGCTCTGCATCTTGCTGCTCGAGACGCCGACGGACGACTCGGTCGAGACCGTCGTCACCTTCGTGACCGAGTGCGGCGCCGCCCTCGCCGAGGTCTCCCCGCAGGCACTCAACTCGATCTTCGAGCGGCTGCGCTCGATCCTGCACGAGGGGGCCATCGACAAGCGCGTGCAGTACATGATCGAGGGCTTGTACGCGGTGCGCAAGAGCAACTTCGCCGACTACCCGGCCGTGCTGCCCGAGCTCGACTTGGTCGAGGCGGAGGACCAGATCACGCACGAGGTCTCGCTCGACGAGCAGCTCGACCTCGAGGAGACGCTAGACTACTTCACCTTCGACCCCGACTTCGAGGCGCAGCGGACGCGCCACACCCCGCGCGCGCCCCCTCGTCCGCCCGCCTCGCCGCTCTTCCCACACCACCCACGGGACCTGAACCCACCCTGGGTTCGATCCCCTGGAGGTATGGTACGCTCCTCTCCCCGCCCTCACGAGCCCTCGACCGCTACTGCTCCCAGGCGAACGAGGCGGCCTACGTGCGTGTGCGGCGCGAGATCCTTGGCGACGACTCCGACTCCGAATCGGGAGACGACGACGACGACGACGACGACGACGACGACGAGGAGGAGGGCGGCGGCGGCGGCGGCGGCGGCGGCGGCGGCGACGGCGGCATCATCACCGACCTGACGGAGCAGGACCTGGTCAACCTGCGGCGCACGATCTACCTGACGATCATGTCGTCCGCCGCCGTGGACGAGTGCGCGCACAAGCTGATGAAGCTCAAGCTGCGCGAGGGGCAGGAGGTCGAGGTCGCGACGATGCTCATCGAGTGCTGTGCGCAGGAGCGGCACGCACCCCCGCGTCCCGCGCTACCGGACCCCCCGCCCCGCGATCCCGGCCCGATCTGCCTGCGCCTCCCCCGATCTCGCCGCGTCTCCCCCGATCTCGCCGCAGGAGCGCACGTACCTCCGCTTCTACGGCCTGCTCGCCGAACGCTTCTGCCTCATCGACCGCGCCTACCAGGCCTGCTCGACGAGCTCTTAGCCAGCCAGTAGACGAGGAGTCGAGTCACTGATTAACTCACTCATGCCAGGTCTGCTTCGACGAGCTCTTTGCCAAGCAGTACACGATGATCCACCGCCTCGAGACAAACAAGCTGCGCAACGTCGCAAAGCTGTTCGCCCACGTGCTGCACTCGGACGCGCTGCCGTGGGGCGTGCTCGAGTGCGCCGCCGCCGCCACCAGCTCGGAAGGGGGGCGGGGGGCGGGGGAGGGGGAGGGAGCCCGCCGCCGCCCCGCCGTCCCGCCGTCCGCAACACCTCCTCGACGCCGTGTGCGCGCGCAGGTACATCGTGATCTCCGAGGAGGAGACCACCTCCTCCTCGCGCATCTTCATCAAGATCCTCTTCCAGGAGGTTGCAGAGTACATGGGCCTCAAGGCGCGACGCAGCCGAGATGCGGCAGAGATGCGGCAGAGATGCCGCCGAGCGTGGCTCACCCGAGAGCCCCCTCCCCCCCCCCCCCCCTCCCGCCCCCCTCTCCCCTCTCAGACGCTGCGCCAGCGGCTCAACGACGAGTCGGTGGCGCCCTCCTTCCTCGGCCTCTTCCCAAGGGACACGCCAAAGAACACGCGCTTCGCAATCAACTTTTGGACCGCCATCGGCCTCGGAGGCCTCACAGACGGCCTCCGGCAGCACCTCGCCGACGCGCCCAAGCGGATCGCGGCCGCGGCGGCCGCGGCGCCGCCGCCCCGCGCCCTCTCGCCGCTCTCCTCGTCGTCGTCATCGTCGTCGTCGTCCTCCTCCTCCTCCTCCAGCTCGTCCGATTCGGACTCGGTCCCCCCCCCCCCCCC